TTTTTTTATCAGCGACAGGGGAAATCCTTCAAAATTGCTACCAGATTACTACCATATTCCCTCGCATTTTTGTTGGGTGAGACTAAATGCTTACTTCGAAATCTAAGCTGCGTTGCGGCATTGGCGGTTATGTGCGGCGTGTATGCCGCATGATTAGTAAGCGGCGACCACTAAATTAAAAACTCAGTAGCTTTGACCTGTTTTCAATGGATAACACTGCATACCAAAAATGTCCATCGCTCTCGTCATAGGATATTTAGATTTAAATAACTAACTTATCTACATCATTGTTTTGAACCAAATTAATACTTTCAACATGACCCTCGCCCGTATTTGTGTTTTTCCATCCGCGAGCGTATAAGGTATAACCCCTTGCCGTTTCGCTCCTGATCAAGCTAGAGCTTCGCGGAAAAAACGAGCGTGTTGCCCGTGACGAGAGGAAGCCGATGATACCCAATTTTAACCCTCGCCGGCCGAGGGGGGGGGCGGGTGCCGCCCCCCCCATAGGGTTTTTTCGCGATAGCTCCGAACACGCTGGCGATAGAGAGCTGAAACTTGGCATACCTGACCTTTGATCCAAGCCGCATCTTTTGACACCAACCGCATTTTTGGGTCAGGTCAGGTCACTGACCTATGACGTCATAAGTGAACCTCTGCACGGTGTTCAGATGTCGCAACTTCGCAACGCCCTCACTGCCAGAGGAGATGTCACAGGGAAATGAAACTTGCAGGATCTAGTATCCATTGTGAGTCCCACAACTTGTATATCTCGGATTTTTCCTAAAGGTCATATGAGGTCAGGTCATTTTCGTGACCTCACCATTATAAGTCAATGGGGAAAAATGAAAACTGCTATTCTGGCGCCGGGAACGATCTCCAACTATCTCAAGCACACAGAATCGTGATTTGATGCACTCCTTGCAAGGTTAGATGCGTCACTTTTGCAATGTTGACCTTGCGTGACGTCATTTATGACGTCATCAAGGTCAAATTAGTTTTTCGTCAATAACTCTTGATCAAATTGAGCTAGCGAGTCGGGGAAGGCACCAATGGACTCAGGAAGGCCTGCCGAATCGAATGATATGCGACATGACCTCTTTCGACCAACTTCGTGACCTGGGGGTGCTGACCTGACCTTGACCTGAGGTCAACACCCCAAGTTGACCTGACCCGGACAAAAAGTATACCATTCGACGCGCCTGAGCGAGGCGAACACGATGCTGCCAAAATCGGCGCTCTGCGGCCGTTTTTTGCGAAGTTATTCACCAAAAACTGAACCGTACCTTGGGGCACTTGACCTGACCTCAGAGGTCACCGGTTGACCTAGGACCTTAAAATCGGGTACCAATCTCTGCGTCTCGTAACGGCGCACACGCTCGTTTTTTCCGCGACGCGCTAGCTCCACCAGGGGCGAAACGGCGAGGGGGGGGTCGTACCCGCCCCCCCCCTCGGCCGGCGCGTATGTAGAAAACCAATAGGTCCGGCGAGGGTTAAGGTCCTAGGTCATCGGTTTACCTTCCAGGTCAGGTCAATGACCCAAAAGGCGGGAAAATTGGGACCTGTTAGAACGTCGTAGTGTGGCTGATATGGGGTTTTTCGGGGTGCTGATCACGAATATCATGCTAGTTTTGATCACAGATGATGTCTTCATTCATTTAGGCCAGGTCGGGTTAGGTCAGGTCAGGTCAACCGGTTAGTAGAGGTCCTGCCGGGTATTTGTAGTAGGTGTCAACCGCCTCTGACAGCCTCGTAACATGTTACGAAGGCACCAAAACTACTTTGTAAACGTTCATGTGATTGCTTAATTCGAATTCAGCTAGAAAAAACTGGCCTAGAAACATGTCAAACTCGAAAAAGTGAACCGAGGTCACCAAAGGTCAATGAACTGACCTGACCTTCAGGTGACCTTTACACCCACCCTAATGCATGGGGGCAACATCATATCACATGTTTGAACGCTTGAAACCACGAAAAGACTGCAAACGCGCTGCTAATGCGAGCCGACATACGCTGAATCGCGGTTCCGGCCAAACATGGTCTCGAAAAGTAGGTCACAGGTCAAAGGTTATTTGCGTCAGGGTCATGAAATTTTCAGGGTAGGTGTAAAATTGATCAACGCGAGGGTACTAAAATTTACGTCGTGACCGGCCGCTTTTTACGCGAGTTATTTCCGAAAAACCGAGGGGAGTCCGTTCGACCCCCCCCCCCCTAAAGGGCGAGGGTTAACTCACAGTCCGAACTCCGAACAAGTTCGGTCTTGTTTGTGAATTTGTCGGAGCATCACCTAAATCTAGTAGAGATGATGGAGGGAAACTAGGCTTTTAAGGAGGGAAGGGAGTCGGTGGCGGTCAGGGGCACTACAAGCTGGTGACAGGGCTGACATACCATGTTTTGATAGCGTGACTGAAACTTTTTGGGTAGCCAGGAAATCGCATGTGAGAGCCTATTGAAATTCTTACATCGGCCTTTATATGCACCAGTCGTATACTGAGGTGCGGGATTTGGCATACGATTTCCAGACAATCGAAAGACTGTTTGGAGCCAACGAAGGAAGGAATGAGTGAGTACTAAGTTGAAAGCATTAATTTGGTTCAAAATAATGATGCAGATAACTTAGTTATTTAAATCTAAATATCTTATGACGAGAGCGATTGGCATTTTTGGTATGCAATGTTATTCATTGAAAACAGGTCAGAGCGTTTCAGTCTTTAATTTAGTGGTCGCCGCTTACTTATCATGCGGCATACACGCCGCACATAACCGCCAATCCCGCAACACAGCTTAGATTTCGAAGTAAGCATTTAGTCTCACCCTTTTTGTTGCGCATTGTCACACAAATAAGAGTTTTGTGAAGTTTATATTAATTTAATTGTCATATTTTGGCTGATTTTGGCGATTTTCAATTATTTCAACGCAGCATGGATCAGATAGCTCTCATAGTTTGCTGAAGAATGTGGCTTTTGCTTGGTTATTTTCAAGTTATCTGTGATTTGTTGCGCCGTGATCGTAGCATTATACAAATTATAAAATTGAATCAACTTTTGAAGTGAAGTTCACATGAAAAACCAAAAGTTCAAGCATAATAATTGTTTAAACATAATGATGCAACATATGTCTCCCAGATGGAACTTATAATTCAATTGAAAACTGAAAATGGAAAACAAGATGGATCTGCGGAGTTACTGAGATCACAAGGTGCTCTTGATTGTTGGTAATTGAAGATGTTGAGAGAACTTGTGAATCTGCATACCAGTCCTGACTTGCTTGATTGTTAAAAACTATTTCAATTCTCATTATTGTGTAATGTGTAGTGACTGTGCACATTGCGCAGCACATGTGCGCAGAAATGTGCAGGTGGCTGGTAGGTGGGTTAAATTTCGGAGATGCGAATTTGGATATCAGTTATAAAATTAATGGTTATGCCTTGTAGAGTAAGCTCTGCTGTTTTTTGTAATTGTCTTTTTTATAATTGTAACCTACAATGCTGTTAGTTTCATTTTTAATTAAATGCTCGACCAGAATTTGCACTTGTTCATGCATGAATGGCTAAGTTTGGGGTGGTTATTCAACCCTGACCGCTCAAGTTTTTCAAAGGCACATGACACAGCACGGCTAGATCAGCTGGTACCTACCTGTTGACTATTTTTGTTTTTGGTGGTGATGTGTTTGCTGTTTGTCTTTTGCAAGGTGGTCAATGAAATAAAATAATGCATTATTTCGGAATGTTTCCTTGACAGAAGCCAGGAGCCGGATTGATGTGTGCTGGTGAATGAGATGGTTCAAAAGCATTATCTGATGTTTTTCAATGTGCATAAGCCATAACATCCCTTTCATACGCTGAAGTTTTAATAGCTTCTCAGTCTCATTTTCATTCTCATTTTCATTCTCAGTCTCATTCTCAGTCATTTTCCTGAAATATTTGGTGTAGATAAGAGATATCAGTACCTTCTCAGAAGTACCTGCCTTCTGCTGGATGAATATTTAATTGGTTGGACGAAATGGACAGGTAGCCTTATGATAATGTAATGTGAAATCTTATTTCTATAAAACTTTGAAAATGAAGCTCTAATTATTCATATGTGCATACATTTTTGATGACTAAGAAAGTTTTCCACAAGAGTAGAAAATGTGGGGAAGTCTATCAATTCAAATGACACATTCTGAAGGCCCGATACTGACAGAGTGCTGCCTCAAAGAATAACTGACTTGCTGGGTTACGAATATTTCTTTATTTTAATTTTCAAATGTAATGTACAATACATTGCAGTTAAATAACAAAATAGTGCAGTAAAATAGTATTGGCGACGATCAAACAACACGTGCGCCATTGATGTCTGCAAAAATTGCTACCAGATTGCTACCAAATCCGTGACGTAGCTACGGCGCCTTTATTTCCCTAGTGAACCAACCTGAGTAGTAAAGTAATCTTGGTTTTGACGGCTAGAAGTAGGGTTTTCAAAGTTCGTCGATTGTGCCCTGAAGGCATACTGTTTTTTGGGATTTGTGGCCCCCCTGATGGATTCCCCGCATTTTGGCACTAGGATTTTCGATAGAGGACACCATTCTGCACCTCTCCACCAAAATTCAGCGAAATCGTAGGGGCCGTCGATCCCTGCTGAATCCCTGCTGAACCCCTGCTGAATCCCTGCTAACTTCCGTTACATTCACATAGTATGGTATAGTCACATAGTATGGTCACATATATCTTTTTTTAGAGAGGTGGAGGGGAATGTTTCTTAAAGAATATTTTAAAGAGAAAGTCATGCTTATCAATCTGAATCAGCAGGCGGAACTATGGTCATGAGTACCCAAATATAGGAACGTTCCCTTTTTTGGGAACGGAGTTCCCAAATATGGGAACGGGCGTTCCCATTTATGAGAACGGAAGGCAATTTTACGGCCATTCGTCCACGAAAACTCAAAAGTGCATCACGTCTCAAAAAAGTGCATGCTAATTTAAGTATCTACTAAATCTCCATAAAGTTATCTTTAATCTGACCGTTGAACAAGGAAATTGACCGTGGAATGATATTTTTAGTGATTTTTTTTAATGACAGAATGGTGGAAATATGGGTTATACGACATTTAACATGCAATTTTAAGGAAAATGAAGCATTTTTTTAGTTTGAGGTCAAGTACCAATTTTCGCCTGGTCATGAAGTTTCATACTAGCGACCCCAGATGCTGGCATACGCAAGCAAACACGCGGACGGTCCCGAGGTAAAATTGTTGACTTTTGGTGTCGGGGTGGACGACTGTGTGAAACGTGAGTGAATTTACCGAACTACTGTTGTAAAATCAGTCTAAGTGGTTGAAAATTATTCAGCTGTATTTTATCAACCCTGAAAGACATATTTTATTTGGATGCTAGCTGTTTGGCGCTGCTTTTAAGGAGCGTCATGAGCGTGGTTTTTGCCTTCGGTATTTTTAAGCACGATCGTTTTGGGGGAATTTCTTTTATACAGGACGCCCTGTGTGGCTTATTTATAATTTTCATGCTGATTTTGATCATTTCTCGTGCCCATCCTACCAGGCTTTTTGCCACTTACACTCATTAAGAAAGGAAAAAAGTAGATTTTTATTGGGACTAGGTGTTTTGAGAGTGAAACATTTCAGCGTTCCCATTTTTGGATATTTACTTGTGCTCGTCAACTATCAGTGTTAAACAGACAGGTGCTTTACATGCCTGCACCCTCGGCGCGGACGGTGGATATAGGCATGGAAGACCTTGTTGAATATCGCTTAGCGTTGTGAATTACCTACGTAATCCTGCAGAGGGGGGCGTGCCCGCTGCGGGATCGACGGGAATAAGAGCGCAAGACCCGGCGAAACATGCGGCGGTCTTGCCGGAAAGGTCATCTTATGATAGTTGCGTTAACAATAACTTACGGCGTTGGACGTGATGCTTGTTAATGAAAAGAGTCCGTGAAAGGCGTCGGTGAAATCGTTCCCAATTTTGGGTACGCCGTTCCTATAATAAGGAACGCTTGCAGCGCCAGTGTACGAGAGCGTTCCCAAATTTGGGCACGCGGCCCGGGTGGTGGACTGCTTTAGAAAAAGAGGAACGATTTGAAGATACGATGGGCCTTACAATATCAAACTCTTTCCCAACAATATTGAGACAAATATCAGGCGGTTCACGATCGTTTTATATTTTTTGGACGTCATTTAACGTTTCTTCTTCTTGTTTTAAACAATGCCTACATGGCGTTCCCATATTTGGGTTTATCGTTCCCAAACATGGGAACGAAAATGCGTTCCCAAATATGGGCACGCTTGACCATAGTTCCGCCTACTGGAATCGTATATTAATTGCCAGCCTAAAGCGGGCTTTTTTATCGCCTGTTAAGTGTCTTGACAAAAAATAGCCGCAGCAGGCCAATAAGGTCTAGCTACACTATGCGGGATCCTACGTCCGTGATCTGCGTGTTTGCGGGTTTTGCAGAAAATCGGTACGCCGGTCAAGTTCAGCTGATAGGAAATACACAGGGTCGGCTACACTGGGGTCACGCAGATTCAGTCAAGGAAATCCCGGACGTTCAGTACAGGAAATGCCGGATAGTCAGGACGGTCAGGATGTTCCGTACCGATGTAAAGTTCAGAGTTACGAACTTTTTTGCAGAAACTGTGAGATTGCGTGATATGAGATAGTTGTTGGCGCACTTGGTGGCGCACCGTATGAATCCAAGTGATGTAATTAATAATTGTTTCTTTAATTTTAATGTGTTTTTGATGTTTTATTAGCAAAATAAACTAATTATCAATAGAATATTATAAAAGGTAGCAAACTAAAGCATTTCTTGCGTAAGCATTTATTAGTTGTTATTACGTTAGCATACAATAATTCACGGAAATTCTGGAAAAACGCAAAAAACCAATGTCAAGGGAGTCTCGCAATCACGGATCTGCAGATCACGCACGTAATTTCCTGGACGGTCACACATAGTGTAGCTCAGCCTATACTCCTTTGGTGTAACGTAACATGTCCCTGGATTCAGTGAAAGTGAATTGCTAGAGTCTGTTTCCATAGGTATTTAACCTTCGCCCCAGTGGGGGGGGGGGGCATATGTTACCACCCTGTCGCGTTTTTCGCGTGTGAATAAAAAACCGCGGCGCGTAGCGCCGCGCCGCTTGGGGTAGCTTTTGGTACATCAATTTTGGACAATGTGTGAAATTTTTGACCCCAGGTCATGTCAGGTCAGGTCACCAGGTCAAGTTAACTGACCAAGCCTAAAATAAAGTTTGCAATCATGTCCAGCCTGCAGTGTTTGTCAGAAAGGTTTTAAACTTCGTGGATTGCATGCTGTTATGGGCGCCTACAATTTGTATATCTCGGATTTTTTATATCCGTGACCTAAGGTCAGGTCAGTGGCGTGACCTTTCCATTACAAGTCAATGGAGAAAAATGAAAATGCCTCTAGATCCGTGTGTACGCATAGGAACAGTCCAAATATTTCAGAATCACAATGATTTAGTCCACTCGTGATGACCAAGGTGTCATTTTTGCTGATAGCCTCTACAAAGGTCATCCGAGGTCATTTGAGGCTACAAACAGTTTTTTGCCAATAACTCGCGATTGGAAAGAGATAGAACGCTGGGGATGGTCTCATTGTGTTTGTCTCGTTAAGACGCATCGACTGATATGCAACATGACCTTTTCCGGTCAGGTCATGACCTTGACCTGAGGTCAAATTTTCAAGTTGACCTTTCAAGGTCAAAGTATAGCTCATTCGACGCGTCTCGGCGAGAGGAACACGATTCTGGCAATAGAAATGTCGTGGCTTTTTGTAGTCGAAAGTTATTGTCGAAAAACACTTTTCGTAAAAACAGCTATTTTTGGAGTTTTTGCCCTCTGGAGGCTAAACCGTTGACCTGAGGTCAATATTGATAATGACTTTGTCAAAAGCAGAGTTCAAAAGCTATCGATTGCTCTTTCATGCGTTTTTCTAGCTACCGTAGTTCCTGAGATAGCGGCATGTTTTCTGAAAAATATAATGACAATCGGCAAATTTTGACCTTTGATGACCTCTGGTGACCCCAATATTGCTCTAAGGTGAAAAATGACCGAAATACTTTCAAACGTACGCATTGAGAGCTATCGGCTGCTTTTTACCGCGTCTTTCTAGCCCTCTTAGTTTTTGAGTTAGAGGTGGGTGGTAACATATGCCCCCCCTCACTAGGGCGAAGTTGGCTGAGACCGCCACTGGGGCGCGGGTTAATAAAAGAATGGGAGGAGCTTGGATGAGTTTTGAGGGGAGATGTTTTTGAATGGCAAACAAATGTTTAGAAAAACAGCTGTTTGCTGGCTGCCTACAAATATTTCTGAGAGAAAAACAACTGTTTGTTACCTGCACAGTAGGTATATGTTTTATAGTGCCTTATGTTGACCTTGAAATGAACTTTTTTTGTATAAAAGATGTTAAAATAGAAATTATGGGATCAGAAATGTGTTTTGTTTTACCGCAAACAGCCACATTGGCTCTGCAAGTGCATTAGCTAGGTAGGTGATACAATTGCATTGTAGGGCTCATTATTTGGAGAGCAGTTGGTTAGAAACCTAAGATTTGTTGACCTCACTGCTCACTTAGACCAACTCTCATGTCAAAGAGATAGGCCTAGGTAGGTAGGGCGAAGGCCCACATTGTAAGGAAGGGAATTGATTTTCTTGAAAACTAAGCAGTTGAGACATGAGAGTCCAATGAATGTCACTACTCATATTTTCTCAATTTCTACTGCATCTTGGCTATCTCAACTAAATTGTAATGTTAAGGTCGGATAGCCAATTATGAAGATTAAATCCTAAGAAGTGTTCATGCTTGTCACAGCTACTTTGAATAACTGTTTTGAACATTTTGTACTCAACAGCAATTGATAAAAGTGACTGGATGTGCAAACATGTATCTCAAAGTTTTTTACATACGTATCGTGTATCAGCAGGGCTGTTAAGTCAACAAATTTTTTATGACTCTAACTCTGACTGACTTCAAAAATAAACTCTGACTCTGACTGTAACCCTGACTCAGGACATTGCTTTTTAAGTCAATATAATGAAAGAAAGGCTCCTGTCAGTCGTCAGAGTCCAGAGATATTTCTATCATGCCTGAAATGACTGCATTTCTTGACCTTGCATTGCAAATATAGCTTTCAAAGAATATGCAAAACTAAAAGCAGGTTCTAACACAGATGCTGTATATTCTGCATTTTTTTTTTCCAGTGAAAACTCGTCCAAAAAGGGGTATGGGCCCATGCGTCATCAAAATATGATTTTGAAAGGTCAACGAACGTGATAGCGTGAAGCAAACAGGTGTCGGTGTGGCTCAAAGCATGACTTTGAGCCACATCGACTCCGTTTTGGCGACTCCAACTCCGACTCCGGGTAGAACGGTCGAGTCTGAGCGACTCGTAGCCAAATCTAGTATGTATATGGGAGGAGTCCACGAATTCGCGCCCAAGGCTGTATGTAGGCTTGCACCGATCGTCAATCCTGCCAAAACTCACTCGTTTTATCAACTTGATTCTGACCGAAAATTGAATGAATTAGCTTGAATTTTCCGACAGATTTAACCCTATTCCTGGCGGGGGGGGGGGCCTCAGGAGCCCCCCCCCCCTGAGGTTTTTTGGTTATTTCTCCCAAACGCGTTGAGCTAGGAAGCTCAAATTTTCTGACTTTTCCTAAAAGGCTTCTACGCAACATGTCTGAAAATTTTGAGTTGATCTGACCTCAGGTCAGGTCACCAGAGGCGGTTTGGTGACCCTACCTCAGAAAAGTTTGCAATCACGCCAGAGCTAGGGTTTTTGACCGATCAATTTCTTCTCTTCAGGCTTTAGTTAGGGTACCAGTATGTGCAATTTGTATATCTCGGAATTTTGATATCGGTGACCTAAGGTCAGGTCAGTTTCGCGACCTCCCCATTATAAGTCAATGGGGGAAAAATCAACTCCCTGTTTTTACCACTAAAACGGGTCGGAATGGCCCCATATACCATACATGACTTCATATACCATCAACCTTCACTACCTTGAGGTGTGTTTTGCTGTTGGGCAGCTGTGAAGTCATGTGACGTCATCAAAGGTCACCAAAGGTTTTTGGCCAATAACTCCGTACAGGAACAAGATACAGACGCGTGGATGGTCTCATTGTGTTCAGCTCGTCAAGACGCATCGAATGATATACATGATGACCTCGAGGTCACGTGACCTGAGGTCAACCTTTGACCTTGACCTTTCGAGGTCAACATATATATCATTCGATGCGGATTGACGAGAGGATCACGATGATGCCCTTAGTTTGTTCCTATCTTGACTAATTCGAAAGTTATTCGAGAAAAACTCTCTCCATATCTAGCGCCGCCATTTTGACTTTTTCGACCCCTGTGACGTCATCTTTGACCTGACCTGAAAATGACCTTAGTAAAAATTGTAGATCTTGACCGTGCGTATCCGATGCCGTTTACCGTTTGTCGCTGCGATGTGTAGTTTTTGAGATCTGAAGGGGGGGCCGAATCGCCCCCCCCCCGCCAGTTTCTTGTCCCGGCGGAGCCCGCCAGGAATAGGGTTAACTCGCTGGACCTATCATTGGTTTTGTTGATACCGAGAGCAGACATGTGCATGGATCCGAGAAAATGGATCTGGGATCTGATCCCACGGATCCTGATCTCGGATCCGTCGGGATCATAGATCCTGCTCTTTTAATTTATCGAGAGATCCGTAGGGATCATTGATCCGAGTCTAGTATTTTTGCTTGAGATCCAGTGGGATTATAGATCCTCATTTATTTTTGGTCAACACAGCAATTCCAAAAGAGCACTCGTTGCAACTCACAAACGTTCTTATTTAGTGATTTTATGTGACAACACGTCATAATCCATAGTTTTATGGCTTTCATTGACATAGAAACACTTGGAAACCCGGTTTCAAATGTTGTGCATGCTGGGATCCACTCAGATCATAGATCCATGTTCTTGTTTTATCGTCAGATCCTGTGAGATCATAGATCCAGGACACATTTTCACGCTGGATTCGGTGGGATCATAGATCCGAACCTGCAATTTGCCTTGACATCCACTGAGATCATAGATCCACCACTCGGATCCATGCACATGTCTGACCGAGAGGGAGGGGGTTGGTACTTGGTACGACCCCTCACCGTTTCGCCTCTAATGAAGCCAGAGCCTCGCGGGAAAAAACGAGCGCGTGCGCCGTTACGAGACGCAGCGATTGGTACGGGGTTTTAACCCTCGCATGTGTGCGGCGTTTTCCAGCTTCTAATGTGTAGGGGGGGGGTCGGTTGGACCCCCCCCCTTGCCGTTTGGCCCCTGATCGAGCTAGAGCTTCGCGGAAAAAACGAGCATGTTGCCCGTGACGAGAGGAAGCCGATGATACCCAATTTTAAGGTCCTAGGTCATTGGTTGACCTTCCAGGTCAGGTCAATGACCCAAGGTCGGGAAAATCGGGACCTGTTAGAAAGTCGTAAAGTGTGGCTGCTAAGGGGTTTTTCGGGGTGCTGATCACGAATATCGTGTTAGTTTTGATCACAGATGATGTCTTTAAGCATTTAGACCAGGTCGGGTCAGGTCAGGTCAGGTCAACCAGTAGGCGTCGTGACGGGTATTAGTATTACGTGTCAACCGCCTCTGACAGCTTCGTAACATGTTACGAAGTCACCAAAACTACTTCGTAAATGTTCAAATGGTTGCTAAATTCGAATTCAGCTCCAAAAACTAGCCTAGAAACATGTAAAACTCGAAAAAGTGAACCGAGGTCACCAAAGGTCAATGACCTGACCTGACCTTCAGGTGACCTTGACACCCACCCTAATGCATGGGAGCAACATCAAATCACATGTTTGAACGTTTGAAACCACGAAAAGCTTGCAAACGCGCGGCTAATGCGAGCCGACATACGCGGAATCGCGATTCCGGCCAAACATGGTCTCGGAAAAGAGGTCACAGGTCAAAGGTCATTGGGGTCAGGGTCATGAAATTTTCAGGGTAGGTGTAAAATTGATCAATGCGAGGGTACTGAAAGTTTCGTCGCGATCGGCCGCTTTTTACGCGAGTTATTCGCGAAAAACCATGGGGGGGGGGTCCATCCGACCCCCCCCCTACACATGCGAGGGTTAAGGTCTCGGGTCAACCGGTGACCTCTGAAGTCAGATAAGTGGCCCGAGGAAGAGGAAGGAGTTCGGTTTTTGGTTTTAAAAATTAAAAAAAAAACTTGCTAAATATGGCAGCAGAACCGCTAAGGCGCGTCGAATGTTATACTTTTTTGTTCGGGTGACCTGACCTAGACCTCGGCCCTCGGGTCACTGTCAAGGTCAGGTCAGGTCAGAGCCCCTCAGGTCACGAAGTTCGTCAAAGCAGGTCATATTGCATATCATTCGATCCCGCAGGTCTCCCCGGGTCCATTGGGGGCTTTCCCGAGTCCCGACTCTTTAGCTCAATTTGATTGGGAGTTATTGACGGAAAATTTATGACCCTGGTGACGTCATACATGACGTCACGCAAGGTCAACAATGCAAATGTGAAGCATTGGACCTTACAAGAAGTGCATGAAATCACGATTCTATGTGCTTGAGATAGTTTAAGATTATTCCCGGCGGCAAAATCACAGTTTCCATTTTTTCTCATTGACTTATAATGGTGAGGTCACGTGACCGACCTGACCTCTTGTGATCTTTAGAAAAAATCCGAGATATACAAGTTGTGAGACCTCTGTTGAAGATGCGATCGACTTGTTCGTTCACAAAGCTACCATGATCGTATAAAATGGCTTTATTGTAGATCGAATAGTTTCTGGGATATAACAGGAAATGTAAAAGAGCAAAACCCACCGCTTGATCTCGCGAGAGCCGTACATATATAATATCCAGTGAGTTGAAAATGTTATTATGTGAGCAATCTTTGGTATCAGTTGAGTTTTATTTGTTACAGTTTGCAGACCACTAGATTTTGAGGTAAAATTGTAAACGAGCATTTTAACACAGTATGAGCAAATTGTTACAAGTGAGTATATTTTAGTACCCGGAAAACTACATCTTATTGAAAATGGAATCATTGCACCACAGATGAAGTCAAAACTACTATTCAGACTGTGAACCACGCTTTACTCTTTCCCTTTCCATTTGGCTCCCATTTTACGCAAGGCAGATGCGATTGTTTTATTAAGGATCGAACACCGTTTGCGACAGGTGCGCACTGCGCAGTCTCCCGTGCTCTGCTCTGCACTCTGTCCAGCGAGTATAAAAGCGGGGCAGCCCGCCAGCGGCAGCTGACCGGTCCGGCACTCTGTCCGCCCCGGTCGGAGGTGTCGCACGGCGCGGAGTGAAGTCGGGTGCGGTAGGCCGGCGCGCTCACGTCGTCACCACGATGGCCGTCCGTCTGCCGCCGCTGCTGACGCTCCTGCTACTGCTGGTGCTCGAGTCTGGTGTCAAAGCCGTCCGACTGGACCTGTTTGATCGCAAGCAGGGCATCCGGATGGGCGTGCCCTCCAACGGCTGCGATGACGGCAAGGTAAGCGACTAGTGAGGGAAGGTTTCCACCGGCAGGATATAAAAATCGGGATAGTAGGAGTACATTGTCTTTATAGGCGGCGGAACGGGGAGGGGGGCACCGTGCCCCCTTTGATTTTGGCATTTTAACATTAGCCCTATAGGCGTTGCATGGAAAGAATGGGACCAAAAGTCAGCAGTGTCCCCCCCCCCCTTAATTGAAGGTGTTCCGCCGCCACTGACTCTCTTAAGTTACTATCTAACTTGATTTCCCTGAATTCATTTTTTTGTGAATATCATTGTCTATGTTGGATTTTATTTTTAGGTTCTACGTTTCATAAGAAAACATTTCATGTATTATTTATTGCGTTAAGATTTTCATATTTCTCTCAGGGGCAGACTGTGGCGGCGTTCAGCATACATTCTATATATGATGTGTCCTTCACTGCGCGGACGCACGTATACGTGTCACGTCACCTCCCACCCCGGCTGACCGGTGTCGGCGGCCCGTGTAATGGCGTCCGGTCGGCGGCCTTCGCGCCGTCACTCCTCTCTGCACCGAGCGTGTCGGCCGCCGGAGACGACCTTTAGCGGGGCTCGTCACCGGACGACATGACCCGGGACGCTGGGGAGGGGGCGCCGGAATCGCGCACTTTGACCCGGGACGCGGGGGCGCCGTAATTGCGCACTCGGACCGCTGCTGTGGCTGCAGTAAAGGAAACCGCCGCTGATTGGGGGGATGAAGGCACGTCGTCGTTCAGCGTGCATTGCTGATGAGGTCCGGCCGCTGTTCCAGACGGGACTGAGCGTCGACTACAATGGCTCAGCCGTCGAGTACACGTGCTTTCTGCCCAAGTCCAAGCGCTGGAGGGTGGGGCTGAACGTCGTGGAACCGGTTCAACATTGCGACGATTTACCAGATGACTACTATGTAAGTCTCCCACCCCATTTTGTTCATGGTGCTTCACGGTGCTTCATGTCCATGCATATGACAATCAGCTAATCCTGTCTTCCGACAAAATAGGACTCAGAAGATTTAAGATATAGCATCTAATATTTCGTATTTGCACCAATTTTAACAGATGCGATGAACTATTTAACGCTCATATTTGCAATCGTGATGATTTCGTTATAAATAACCCATAGCATAGAAAAATGATCGTAAGCTCACTATTTTGAAAATCTAATCATAACCTAAAGTGAATGAATATATTTCGGAAGCGTTCCTTCTCCAGTTCGAAAATTCGTTCATTTAGCCTAAGTTTACATTTTTCAAAGATAGTGAGCGGACAGTTATTTTTCCACGCTATTCACTCATGCTGCTCATTTTAGCACTTCGTCACCGTATTATAGATAAATAACCCATGTTTCTTTTTGTCAACAGCCTCAGCACTACTGTATGAACCAATCTCTGGTGTACAAGGATACTATTCCAACTTTGTAAGTACTAAGAAGGTACCTTTGATTATTTATTTCAACGCCGTTTACAATTTTCAACTGGCCCTTTTATTCTATTTCTAACTCTTTCCAAGTTTTACAAAAGGTCATGTTTTGACTGTATCTTTATAATCTGCATTTTTTTAAGTTTCATTCAGTTTCTTGTGCCGAAATGGCTGAATCGATTACGTGATAATTGCGAAGTGTTTTGTAGTGAATGTTTTTTTTTTACTGTGAAAAAATTCTTATTTGTTTTTAAACAATTCTTATTCATTTTACAGCGGAGACCACCGTCCTCTTTGGGGGATATTTGGGGAATACCAGTATCTGCCGCCTCAGCGTTGGCTTCACAACGTCGAGGTAAATATTTTAACCAAAATATCGTCATGGTTGAATATGGGCTTGAGTGCAAATTGAAATTATATGTGTCAATACTGTACTATTAAACGTTTTTTTTTTTTGCCATGCCTGTAAGCTTTTTGTATTGTATTGTATTGTCTACCTTTTTCTGAGGAGCAAATCACGTTTTCAGCACGGCTCTGTGATAATGCTGTACCATCCGTGTGCCGACTACCGGGAGGTCGACAGGCTAAAGGGCCTTGTGCGGGGCTGCATCCGAAAACACATCATTACGCCGTACCCCAAGCTTTCGCTACTCCGGGTGAGTTTCTGGAACGAAGGGAATAAGTGGAATTGTAATTTGGGGTCCAATGACTCGGTGCAGTTTTTTTTCTTTTCGCCGCACTTACAAAGCTGATTGTTCCCAGTTGTTAGAGTCACTTTTGAAATTATGATGCGATGATAGGAGGGAGAAGCTAGTCGTGAAAGTTGGATATACTTGCCTTTCACGTGGGCTTTTTTTACGTTTTACGTAAACTTATACTCGTTTAATTTAGTTCGGCGTGAATTAGCGATCAGATGTTCCAGTATCGTGCTGGAACAGGTGTTCTGGTATCAGTGCAATATAGATTGGGCAGTGCTGAAATCCGCCGATAGTGGCGGGATGATAAGACTGAAATTTAGTGGCCAGTTGGGTAACGTTTGGTGATAGTTATATTTTTATCAGATTACGGAGAGGACAGTTTGATTAACATTCGGGGATAATTTTCGACTACCTAAACAGGAAAGTGGAGCAGGGTTTATCCACTGCCTGTATCGGGCAATTCATAGGAAACAATTAATTGTCATATCTTCCTGAGCTGTACTGCTATGATGTACGTATGTTTCATTAGCCGTATGTTGTTCGAAAAGCGTTCACGGCACTGCGTTATAAATGACCAGCCCTGAACGCATGTTTCAGCCGCTGGCACTGGTGGCCTGGGGCTGTCGTCTGGAGATGTCACACGTGGACCCAGCTACCGTGCGGTCCTTCATCAGGGAGAAAGGACTGAAGGGGCCTGAGGGCGACCTGCCGAAGCAGGGGCAGTATGACTTCATGCTTCTGCAGCGAGCAGAGCCGCCTGCCGGCTCCGATATCAATGATTCGGTGCTCTGTCCGAGCCAGCCGTAATTACACCTGTTTGACAGAAGGGCGCCATGCGCTGTAATCGTTACGATGGAATATCCGGCCTGAGCTGACAGACAGGCGTTCTGTCGCCGCCGGAATGGTGGTGGGGAATCATAGATATACAGACTGTCTATGTGGGGAACACTGGCTGTTCAACGACGCGTGTGCAGTCGGAGCACGAAGGTGGTGCCGGTGGTGTTGATAATGTCGTACCTTGTGTAACCAAAGTTCCAATAGTTGTTAGTCTTATACTATATATTCTGTATTTTTGCATAATTTTATATGTTTGGTGCTTAACGAGACAGCGCCCAGTGTCTGGTTCCTTATCTCCGTCCATGGTTTTTATGTTCATCGCCGTTCGGTATACTGTTTTGGCGTTTTGCTTAGCTGCGTATTTACACTATTAAGTATGTGGATTTCCAATCCAAGTTGTTTGTCGAGCATTTCAGCTCGTATTCTACTTATCTTAGGTTATTAGAGGTTTCATCCTGAAGGTGTTCTAACGTGATTGTGACGGACTGGTTGTGGTTGTCGAAATATTTTATTTTTATGTCACGGTAGGTATGTGATATGCTATGGCGGCTGTTGGCTTATATTGAAGTGTTCCGCTTCGTTTACTGCTAAGCGAATGGTATTTACATTTGCTATTTTGACCATTGACCTAAAATAGCATAAGCCTTTCATAAGATTTTGTGGTTTTCTTGTGTCCAAGATGCTATCAATAAAGATCTCAGGACATTATGCCACTTTTGGTGTAACTCCAAAAGTGTACACCTAAAATGCAGGCCCATGTCGTCCCCTATCTCCGCGTGTGTCCACTAACACGAATGACGTCACGCATGTGGGCGGAGCTATGGGCGGAGCCTAGCGCACGCGGCAGTCCAAGCCGCCATATTTGAATTTATATTTTAATAGAATCTTGCCGATATTTTGGGTGAAGTCAATTTATATGGATAGCTTGGTGACATTTTAGCTATACGAATAATAATTTATTATGGATGTGCGTATATTCAGCTTGGAATTGCAATTAAAGTTCCGCACCGCATAGATTCGAACTCGGGACCTTTGGAATACTGCGCGGGCACGCTAACCACTACACTACCGCGACCGCGCGGCGGCTGGCGGCAGGGAGGCTGCGGAGACATGGGGGGACATTTTACGCTTTTGTGAAAAAAGCAAAAGATTTAGCGAAAAACACGTAATAGATAACTTGCAGAAAATTGTCTGCTCTTTCAGATAAGATACTTAGGTTTGATATATCTTGTGCAGACTTCATTCTACAGTGCTTCGAAAATCGCTCATTTACATGGGGATTGAACGGGGCTTCGAGACTTGACTCCAAATGACGTCACGAGCTGACGTCACGAAAAGGTAGAATCGCCGGACGACCCTACCTGGTATATAGGGCCTTGCTAAAATGGTTTTGTCGTGAAAGATCCGTATGCGACCACTCATCTAACGGAACAGCGTAGGCGCTGAGTGCAGTGGCATGTCGGAGCAGCGGGTGATGCCCTGCCCCGCGGCGAGACAACGTTCTTGCGTCGACCTCTAAAAGGTTAACGATGCGAGGGTCACCAACTCCAGTCCAATAAGTGATTATTGGCGTTCTAAATATGGTAAACAAAACAAGCGTCCTTCGCCGCGATTTTTGTGAGTCGTGTCCATTTGCGGGAGTATAATTCACACCGCCTGACCTTCCGGCTGCCATGAGTGGCTCAGTTTGTACCATGCTCGAAGTCGAGTTAGGCCGCAGAGCCAGCTCCGTGTCCCGTTAGCTCGATAAATCACGAAAACCAATGGCGTTCATGGCGTTTAGTCATTATACCCACGGTGACTATATTATACCCATTTATCATGTCAACACAATTTGAATGTGAAATAATAATTTACCTATCGTTACCCTGACGAGATGCGGCGGATGCGGCGTATGCAGCCTTTTCGACAGCAATGCAAATAACAGATCTTTCGTAAACTCATGGGAAACTACTAATCATGTTCCTGAATTGCTGCTCGCGCTAGCTAAAAACAGACTCTCGAGCACTACTGCCTATGTTTTGGAGCAATTGGTTGTATGCCTTGTGAGCTCTCTCGACATTTATTTTTTGAGGCATTTTGATTGATAGGTCGTTGCTAGGTGAGTTTATTACTTTTAAACATTTTATTTGGCTTATTCGTCAGAATTTCGGTTCATTTTACTGAATGGGACTACATTTTTATGCACATAAGTTGTCCAAAAGAATGGGCCAGTTCAAGTTCTCATAAAAATTGTTTTTATTTTGTTGCAGTTTTTAAGATTTCATCAAAACGTGATCAATTTCCTTCATCCAGTATTCTGAGGGCTGTTCACGGGCCCTGTGTGCAGTCGGACCGCACACAGCCTCGAATCTCCGCCCACTTCGTCCCCACGTCAGCCTTCCGTCACCGCACACAGCGATTGCTGTGGCCGGTCGGGACTGGCCACAGCGGACCGTCCACCGCACGCAGCCGCGACGTCAGAACCGCCTACCCATCCCCTACCCCCACGCCTGCTGGACGCACCGCACACACCGCAAGCAGCAGTGTGCGGTGCCCGTGGACACCCCTCGGATTGGAAAGTTGAAGATTCCCTGGTATCTTAATTGTGTTAGTATAAAACTAATTACTTATAGGATAGGTACCTACTCAATTATACTTGTGCAGAATTTCAATTTTGAAAGACCACTTGGTCTCAAGGATCCGGTCTTATCGAGCTCCTTGCAATTGCAATTGCCTCACTCAGACATTCGGATGTGTTGTGTATTTGAATGTGCCCAGGATTTGTCCAGTCTGGCTATGAATGCATTAACCCACGCATGACTGAAGGGGGGGGGGGGCTCTAGCCTCTACAGAGCCCCCTCCTGTTTTTCAGCAATATCTTCTAAACTGTTTGATGGATCAACTCGAAACTTGTGGTACCCTCAGCGGCATCAATTTGACACCTTGTGTTAAAAGTTCAACTTTCTAGCTACCATAGTTTGGCCGGAAATGATGTCAGTGTGACGTCATATGTTGGTCGATTTTGATGCAAAATATTGAATGACGGCAAACGCTATCAAGAGCTTAGTTTTAAAGCTAGATCCTATTTTTTTTTTGCATCAGTGTGCTACAAATACTCGTGGCTATCAAAATGCTATCTCAAATTTTCGAAATTCTAAAAATTTTGATTTTTATCAGTTACAAAAATGTATATTTTTTATTTTTTTCAAAAAGTTTTTGATTTTTTGCTACAACCGGAATATATGTGATAGAACACACACACTGATATACTACTCTAGCAAGTTTTAGCCTAATATCTTCACAAATAGCCAAGTTATTGGCATTATTGTCAAAATTTTACAATTATATATTTTTCAAAACCATTTTTCAGTACGTTTTTGACATTGTACAACAATATAAATGGCGCCATCGTGTTCCTGAGCTCAAATTGCATCTGATAGGCACATTTTTGTTGAAAACTTTCATTTTCAAAATTTGACCTTTTCTGACCTGAAAGTGACCCTACCTCCGGTAAATTCAGCTGAAAATAACCTCAAATGACACAGACGACATTATTTTCGAAATCTACGAGTAAAATGGAGCATAAAACATGCGTCACGTGACCGATACAATGATACATGATATACAATTTTCGTGACCTAGGATGACCTGGCCTTGCCCTGAAAAATTTGAAGTAAAAGTTTGGTACCCTAAGGGTATCTAATCTAAGGCATATATCAAGAAGTGCGTAAACCAAAAATGAGCCTGATCAGACTTGTCAGCCGGCGGCCAGAGCCTTAATTGTGAACAAGCAAAAATGCCGATAATTTTTTCTTTGACCTGACCTGTGACGTCATCGGTGACCTCGAGGTCAATGAAAATATGTTTCGCTCTACAGTTTTTCCAGGGCTATCAGACGCTGTTTGAATTTTGACGATCGGCCCAGTAGTTTCGGAGATTCTGGAGAGCACCCCCCCCCCTCCCCCAGTCACTCGTGTTTTGGAAAATACCCCATTCATGCGCGGGCTAAGGCTGGGAGCGTCGACGACTGATGGCGGTAGTGCATTCCAATTGTTGATGACGCGGACAGAGAAGACATTTCGACACTTCAGTTTAGTGTATGGATTGTTCATTCATGCCTTATGACCTATTTCAGATCAATCTGCTTATTCTACTCTGAACCATGACATCAGCACTGCACCTGATGCATGGTCGCCTGCGCACAAACATCTTCAGAGATGAGGCCCGACAGAAATTTGTCACCCTTCTGGACAAAACCGTTGGCACTAAGGTGATTCTTGTCGCCCTTGATATTGTCGAGTTTATTCTAGGCATGATTGTGACGTGCCTTGTGGTTACTCTGCTCCCATGTCATAACCATCTTCAAATTTTCCTCAGTTTTGCAAGTAGAGCTTTTAAGCACTGTAGGTCTGGTATTTGGTTTTACCAGCAGATGTGATCGGCAGTAATGCTAAGCTAAGAGTTCTCAAGTTAATGCGCCAGAATGCTGATCATAGATTTTGCTCAAATTGAAAAAAAAAACAATCCATACATTGGAGTTCAGTTCAGTTATTTGTTTTTATCTTAACCATGTTCTGTTCACACTCACCGCAATGTGGCAAACAGCCCATTCCATTGACCGCGCCGCCTCTGCGCGTCAGGCGATCGTCTGGGATGAGCGGCTGACGGGCCCGTTCGGCCTGGTGGCCGAGTACTCGTTTCTGCGCGAACACGACGTGGCCAAGATGTTCCCGCTGCGCGCGGGCCGGCTGCCGCCCAGTGACGTGGACACTGTGGTGTTTCTGGTACGCCCAGAGGTCGGCCTCATGGAACTGGTCGCCGAGAACGTGCAAAAGTACGTGCGTACGTAGAGGGTGGAAACGTCACGTCGGTCCGTACGTTCAGTGGGCGAGAGGCGGGGATGGTGAATAGTAGAATGTTGAAACATCACACAGGCTGCAGAGTGCAGTATGTTGTAAGGCTAGCTGAATGTCGAGAAAATTAATTTGGAAGCAAGGAGATGGGAGTATAAGCCAGTAGTGTAAGAGCCTGTGCGGTGTGCACTGCACATAAGTTACAAACTCTATCGCACCCACATGCAACGATCCTCGCATTGTTAAAGTGACATTACTATGTAACAACAGTCGCTGTGTCGATGACCCTATCAGTCACAAATCAATGTCACCTAACTCTACGTCCTGTCTGTTCGATAGACCAAGACAACCTTTTCATTCCATTTGCCATAAATACCAAACCTCAATTCATCTTCCATCGTCCGCCCATCCAAAATTAATAACCGACCGTCTGTCCGTCTCCACAGGGAGGAGGAGCAGGGCGGCCGGCGCAAGGAGTTTGTGCTCTGCTTCATGCCGACCGGCAGCGGCGCGTGCGAGCGGGTGCTGGAGGAGCGCCGGGTGCGCGGCACCTTCAGTCAAATCACCAGTCTGGAGGTGCGCCTGCTGCCGCTCGACGCCGACCTCCTCTCCATGGAGTACCCGCTCGGATTCAAGGCACGTGAGGGCGGACCGGAGAGGATGGGATCGGTAGGACACAGGGAGACTGTTTGTTTGTGTAACATACCTTGGATGGGGCTGACGGATGAAGTGTCCGATTTGAAAGTTGGCTGTAATTTCTGTTTAAGTTTGGCCTCTATTTAACCCTCGCCCGCACATGGGGGGGGGGTGATTGCCCCCCCCCCCCCCAGGTAGTCTTTCTGCTGTGCACTCAACATTTTTAGAGCGAGGAGGCTGATTTTTCGTATAGCTGCTCCTCTATCCTTTCTTGAATGTCCACTGAAAATTTCAAGTTTCTGTGGTTTTTGGTTTCGGAGATATGACCTTGTTTTTCAGGTCATGTCATGACCAAGATGGCCAATTCTCAACATTTTGCGTTGGCTATGGGCCTTGTGAGCTTTTGACACCTTGATTTCAGCCTTTTTTGCCAGTCTTACCTCCCACCTATCATGGAACATGTTGTTCGACGATGTACAGATGTCAAGGTCAAGGTCAACCTAGGTCATCTAAGATAATTGCGTTTTAGGCAAGCGGAATTTACTTTTTGTGAAGTTTTTTGACTGCATTTTTGGTAAAAGCTTCTCAGATCATGATTTCATGTAATATGGACACATAAACAATCGGTGCACACATCAGTATACACACAGACATACAAACACATATAATTGACCTTGACCTAACTTGACCTGAAATGACCTCAGCAGCAAAAACCTGGTCGGGTAGTGTGACAAGGAGGTTCTAGCTGGCTTGGCACCAGAAAACGGCATCGTCATCGGTACATGATAGGCAGCGCACTTGATATCCAACGGTGACCCAAAACAGCAACATTTTTTTAGTTTGACCTGACCTGGAAGGTCAATGACTGACCTGAGAAGGTAAAACTGGGTATCATTGGATTCGTCTCTTCCCAAAGAATCTTTTTAGTCTTTACCGCTAAGCTCTATCTCCAGCAGGAACGAAATGGCGCGGGGGGGGGGGTGGCAACCACCCACACCACCCCTATGTGCGTTCTAGGATGGGAAAATGGCATGTGTGGGCGAGGATTAATACTTGACGTGATTCGACCTTACTTAATGTTTTAAAAAATATTTGTTTGTAAGCTGTGATATGAAGTGCATTTTCTGTCACTCATTGCTGAATTTCTTTTCTTTTTTTGTTACAGGAGTACGCCCTGGAGAACGACCCGAGCTGTTTGTTTGAGGCGGCCCAGGCGCTGCTGGAGATACAGCTCAAATTCGGCATTATCCCCTCCATCTGCGGCAAAGGAAACGCCGCTAAAAAGGTGGGATATGATTACAGTGCCACCTTTTGCATGGTAGTTTATGTTTCTGGGTTATGCTGGTGAGTCACATGTCGGATCATTTTGTTATTCAAAAGATGCTGAAGTTAAATAATTTGCCGAATATCGCGATGATCGAACAAAATGACCTATAACAATCTTATCTAGCAGCTTACTCTACCGTGATTTGACGTAGTATTCGGACTGGAGATCAGCAATCGGAGATAGTAATTCCGGAGCACCTGTAATGTGAATTACCACGTAGCATTCACCGACATGACTAGAAAGAAGTCCGGAGTTGTAGCGGCTACCATTCCAAGCGCGCACCTACCGGCAGTAGCGGCCGGGACCTTCACCTCACCCTCCGTCCGCCAGGTGTACGATTACCTGTTGAACCTGCGCCGGGAGCACCAGGACTCGGAGTTTCCGACCGTCTGCGAGATTGACACGCTGCTGCTGATTGACCGCGAGGTGGACCTGATTACACCGGTGGCCACCCAGCTCACCTACGAGGGACTCATCGACGAGGTGTTCGGCATCCACAACAGTAAGTGCTGCTACACTGAGATAACTCTACTATCACCCAGCTCACCTAGGAGGGAGGTGTTCGGCATCCACAACTCAGTAGGTGCCGCTAATGCTGCTGTACTGATGGACGCAGCTGCTGCAGGGATGCAAGGAAGATGAAAATAATTTCCCTTATAATGAACATGAAGTCGACAGCCCGTTGAAAGGATGGGTATTGTATGATTCAATGACGATCGAATGTTTAATGAAAACGTTCCTGCTTCATTTGTGCATTTTTCCTAATTTCCACTCATTCGCTTCCTATGATGACGATACACCTGCCGCTCAGCAACACACTTATAGATAGTAAGTGTAAAGTGATGTACCCACCGATTGACACCGTTCACTAAGTTGACATGTTATTTTAAAGTGACCATCCCACCTTAACATTAGTTTTGAGTTGAGATAGCCAAATTGGTGGCCATGGCCTGAAAATACCGGTTTGGGCACTCACAACATCGAAGAATGCTTTAATTCGGAGATATGGAATTTCAAACTTGCAGTTTTCGGATTTTAAGGGGCTAATGCATTGGTATGCCCCCTTAGAATTTGTGACGTCAGCGGAGATCTAACGATTTTTAAATCTTTTACTAAAACGTTTGGTAGCACGTGGTGGTATATGCTGCTTTGCGCGCAACAAATGCCGCACTTTCAAATAAAGTCGCTAGGAACAGCGGAGATCCCAAAAAGTAAACAAAAGTAAAAGTCTAATATCTTGAAAACCGGTGAATATTTTTCGATGAAATTTGGTAGATATTCGTTTTCGCTCTTTCTGAACCGAGCGACATCACTTTCATGCCAATTCATGAACTTTTTTGAAGGTGGGAGGGTCCCTTTAACACTGAACGATTTTTTACATTTCCTTATGAGCGACCGTTGCCCTTCCATGGACCATTCTGTAAACACCGTGATTTGGAAGGCAGCGTATCACGCCCCTAACTAGCGTCCGCTGCCAATCCCTATCGTGGCTCTCTCGGTGATGGACTTTAGGGATGTGCCTCGCACAGTGCGACAAGCTCTTTGGAGAGACGAATTGCATCTTTTTATTGATGTACTGACCCAAAATAACCGTCCATTGGCCATTGTTGTGATGACGACTGCAAGGCCGCAGCTTCGAACGACCTTGGCGGTTATTGTCTGATGCGTGAACAATCCCCAGGCTTGACACCCCTCCTTTGCGTGTTTTGAAATTCGGGATTATTTCGCAACGCATTCATGCCCACCGTCTAGACACGGCACGCGCGCACAATTGCGGTTCGGCTCATGCGACTGTCGGGGCGTCTCACCCCGACTTTCCGCTCCATGCATCGGTGGCTTTGGATGGCTTTCCGCCGGCGCGTCTCTGGCACCGCTGTGTGCCTGCGCCCACTTTCGGTCCACATTATCCGGGGTTATCGGTCTGTGCCCTGGTTGCGTCATCCCGGCGATATGACAATGTGTTCAGGTGAATGACGGGCCCATCATACATACAACGGATGGATCCGTGACATGCACAGAAAGAAAGGCAGCTTAAGTGTCGATGAGCTGAAACAGAGTGAAAGTGGTTCACTATAAATGTGAATGTGGCGTTGACACTTCGCTTAGCGGGGCAAGTTTATGACGGATAGGTGACCAATTAGTTTGCACAGCAGTTGTTGATTGATGATAAGGTACATACATTCATGTATGATATTCTTATATTAGCGAGTGAAGCGGAAAAATTGACATGCACGAGAGGGTCAACATGAAAAATATCACCACTAACAAGTGATATACAACCGACAACGGAGGAGGCATGTCTATTCTATTTAAATAACATACAAAACATCAAATGCATGTCTTTGGATGTAGCTAACACGTAACACCAATTCTCTGAGTCCACAAACTGCTTGCAGTCGAACGCTAGGCGTTTCTCTGCTGCTAACAACTGCGTCTGGCCGCGAGCTAACTACGTGCGTATGCGCATGGGGTTCCACTCGCCGAACTGCGGCGAGAACCGGTGCAGAGGCGAGTGGATGAACTGGGCCAGCGGGTGGCTGGGGTCGGCCGCGGCCGGCTCGGAGGGACCGGCTCCGAAGGCGCCGCTCTGCCTGGGAGCGCGCACTGCGCCGCTCCGCGCCTGTGGCCGCCGACTCAGGCGACCCTGCCGGGCGCTGAACTGGGCGGACGAGGTGACTTCGTGACCGGCAGCGGCTGCCGCCTCGTCATCCCCAGAGCGCGGTGCCGGCCCGGCCGGGGAGCCCGTCTTGTGCGACCAGGAGTGGTCCTGGGCGGGCGCCGCGGTGGGGTGTACGGGGGACGCCGCCGGGCCGGGCGGAGCGCCGCCCCAGCCGTGTCTGATGGTGTTATCGGCCACCAGCCAGGCGCCGGCGGTCGGCGGCGGAGCGCTGCTCTGCAGGCTCCAGGAGTCGCCGGCAGCACCGGCAGCGCCGGCGGGCGGCACGCGGTCGCCGCCGGTAGGTACGGTATTGGCCTCAGGACTCCAGGGAGCTGGTCTGACGCCCGCCGGTCGGACTGGGAGGCGGCGCTGCTGGAGGGCCGGCGGTCGGCCCTGCGGCCCCGCCGGCGGCGGCTGGTTGGGCCTGGCGTGCTGTCCGCCCGGCTGGTGAGACGGTCCTGGGCCAGGGTTCGCCAGACGGCGGATCTGTGGACGTCCGCCGCTCAGCGGCTGTGGTCCCTCTCGTCTACCTTCCGGACGGGGGCCGTCCTGTGGCACCTCTCGGCGGCCATCGGGCCGAGGGGACGGACGGGGGCCGTTTTGTGGCGCCGCCACTGATCCCTGCCCCTCTCCGGGGCTGACCTCGCGCTTGGCCGGTCCGGCGAACCTCAGCGGCGCGCCGCTATCGGCCCGCCTGCCGAAGCCGGGTCCCAGGTCGGCGGTGAGCGGCGGCAGTGGGCCGGAGAACAGGAACGTGGGCTGGCGCGGCTCGGCGCGCGGCGGCGGCGCGCCCGGCGCCTGCTGCGGCGACGGCAGCGGGATGCCGTCCGGCGTCTGGTACGACACCGTGGCGCGGTAGCCGTTCTCGTCGGCCACGTAGTTCACCACCTGTGGGTGGGGGGTTCGGTAAGGTGTGGAAGAAGCAGTCGAGATGTGTGTCTGGGCATACGTCAGGAAAGATATTAACTGCTGCTATGCATGGTCTGCGTCACGTTCCATAGGTACAGCCCTCTGCAAGCTGCGTGGTAGGTATTCTTTTTTCGACAAAACCGGGAATAACGCGAATACTATGCTAACGGTCACTCGGAAATCGTAACAGCAAGACGTGCGAGACTCCGCACCTTAGGTTGGGTTTATTTTGGTATACATTTTCCAGCTAGTTTGGCAACAATACAAGAAAGTTTATATCTGCCCCCAAAACAAACTTTTGCATTTTGTTGCTACACTAGTTGTATAATTCGTTCAGTGCTAGAACCAATCGAAGGAGTGGAGCATGGCGCATCTATATGCAATGAGATCCGACCTACCGATAACTTAGTCTTTGAGTTATTCTCGGTTTTGTCGAAAAAAGAATACCTACCACGCAGTCTGCAGAGGGCTGTACATTCTCTCCAGGCTTGTTCTGCCTGATGTTTCCATTTGGTCTCGAAGAGGAATTTGTAGCCGGCACAGAAAAACTGTCCTATAACTATTAATTCTATTTTATCCTTCTGGAACTTAAGGTGCCTTTATAATTAAACTTTGTTTAATTGTCAGTGACCCAATAGACGATAGCATCCTAATTCTCACATCCATTTCACTCCATAAATCGGGCTTATTTATTCTCTCTGGTACGCTATCCTGCTACCTTACACCCACCTGAACGCGTCCGTCGGGCAGCAGGGTGGAGTAGAACCCGGTGACGGCGTTGCCGTTGCGCTGTTCGTTCTGCTCCGAGTAGGTGGCCTCTGCCGGGTCCTCCGTCTTGTACCCGTATGTGTACTGAGCTACACCCTGGGTAGTAAATAACGGGACACACTCAATGGAATGGCGACGGATGATATCCGCTGGGCGCTGATGCCTTTTAAATTCGCTCACTTTCCACTGGCTGCCTCTTTAAATTGATTCCATTTTTATTCATTGCTTTATCACGACAAAGTAAGCCGCAGCGACGCATCAATATTTGGTGTGAACTTCCTCTAAAACACAGCAAGAGCGTTATAAGTCCATCCCAATAATTATTTATATCGATGGCCCCCGGCTGCCCCGGTGTACTGACGTCAGGCGGCGGCTGTCCGAGGGGTGTCAGCGGCGCCGGCGCCAGCGGACCGCTAAAGAACTGGTTACCGGGGTTGATCTGAGCCCTGGCGACCGACGCCAGCAGGGCAGCCAGCAGGATGGCCCGCATCTGCGGCCAGACACAGGGCGTCAGATGAGATGGGATGGCGGGGTCCAAGTAATCGAGACATGTGGCTGATTATTATCATGACAATAGGAGATGCCTGTTGGTGATGCTGGTTTGATCACCGCATCGTGATGTGTGCTTATTTCTGAGTCGAAAGCTGTCTGCAATAACCCAACTACATTTTGATAGTTGAGCTGGTCAGTGGTCAAAAATATTGGTTCTAGTTTGTGTGGTGACATTTAGACATGAATATCAGGTTGTGAGGTGAATATATTTAGCAATGTTTATCGAATTTAATCAGCATCGATCGTAATTCTCATTGGGCTCCTTTTCTGTTAGAGCTGCTTGATTTTCGCTAAGTTGAGTATTTCCTGGTTCGACCGTGTGTGTACAGATTTTGGCTCTAAATCGAAGACCTACAAGAAGTGCTTGATTCACGACACGACCTTATTGTATTTTAGCACAACATATGTCTCAACTTTGGCCACTTGTACCTAGTCCTACAGTCTCTTGAATCCAATTGTCTACGCAACACACACTGGCGAACAACTGGCGACTAGCGGTATCTGGTATGACTGACCTTTGCGCACCGGTGTCTTCAGTTGCTCGCTGATGTAGCTTTGATGCTGTGTCCTCCAATTTCTGACCAGAGCTATCACTGACTACCACTTCCTGCCCACCGCGTGCACTCGATAAGAGCTCCCACTCTCCCACGATTCGTGGCTGCCGCCCCCGCACGACGCACTCCACTGTGGCCCGCCGGGCACGGTGAAGGGATTTATACCGCCGTGGGCGAAACGGGTGGGGGCGGCGCCATGGAGCTGACAAGGTCTGATGGCCGCTCTTGTGTTTCTATTCAATGTACGCATAACGCTAGCCTTGTTTGAAGGAATGCCAGTTATTCTATTTTTTGTGCATTTTCCTTTTCTCTTTGCCTTTGTGATAAGGAAGTGAACGTGACATAGAAACCATCCACCACAAGGCTCAGAAATGTTCAAATGTTTGGCACGTGACTGCACGGGTCTGCTTTTCTACCCTGAGCTGGCTGAAGGTCTTTAAGTTGAAAAAATGCCTCCTTGAAAGTCGAACTTCTAATGTCTATGCTCTCTAATAACACGCACCTATACTCGTACATAAAATACTCGTTTATAAATTTCATATGCGATAGCTTTTTTATGATAGGTCTATGACTGGCATTCGAGCAGTCAACCAGCATTTCTAATAAACAACTTCTGTAAGTAGGCGTCAAAAGACGCCTACATTGGCGTCTTTTCAGTTACCTTAGGCGGTTCGTTACTTTATTACCGGTGCCATTACCGGTGAAACCGGTGTCCTGCGCGCCCCGTCCTATGCTCTATGGTTCCGGCGGCGACCCGTGACCGTGCCCAGACGTTCCGCCGTACCAGACACGTCGCTCCGACCCACACGTCGCGCTCCACGCCGTGTCGGCGCCGACGGGGTGCGCGGGTCGACGTTACGTCACCGGGTGAAGCTCGGCCGGTGACTCTGATGGCGGGCTGCGTACAGGAACGGTCACGGCGCGTATAGTAGTGCACCAGGCACCGGGGCGGTCTGCGTTGTGTTTGGATGTGGCTTACCGACAGGTTTACCGACACAGTGATTCTATTTGTAATCTGAAGTTATCTCTTTGTGGCTGTTAGTTGCTCTTGTAATTATACTTTTTCAGTATGTTTCTGCCTTTCAATGGATGGGGACAATATCTCTGAAAACTGCTTTTTGTGCTAAGTTATTGCGCTGTGTGGCAGTGGAATGCTGTGTAAACAACTTGGATAAAATATCCTTCATAGTTAGCGTTAAATCGTCTGATTTTGCGTAATAATTGTCAGTCAACGCAACTTCTTGGGCTTCATGTACGTATGCCTAGTTGTTGGGTTCGTGGAGTTATTACGCGTGAAACTGTCTCTATACACGTGCATTCAGAGTTAAATGCTGTCAGCGCGCCCATGAAAGGAAAAGTAACGATGCATGGGTGTTTTATGAGCTGATGTTTTATGGTGGCTTATTTTGCAACGTCCCGATTTCAAGGTTCATGTTGTGGTTTGATCGTTGGGCTTACATCGGGCAAAACTACACGTGCTCAGTGCTGTAATCCTGTACAGCGGGGAGCATAATATCTCGACAGGGCAAACATGTCTTCTGATACGGCTATGCTGTGTTTTGTGCAAAAAGGCGTCTTTTTGCGATCTTGTTTCTGTATTCTGTTCATGTATGTTGTTGTGTCGATCGTTTTCATTAAAAGACTACATTTCTATCTCCTGGGATCCAGGCGAGACTAAGATAGGTAGTTCATAGCTGATCTGCCCACCTTTCTCACTGTTCTTAGAAGTGAAGAACTGCGAGCAGTCCATCTTGAGCTATTTTCTAATGACGTTAATAATACGATCAAAAAGCAAAGCAATACGGCCTACGGGCGCCAATGATCGCTATTATGGCGCTTGGAATGAGCCCTGTTTTGGGACAACCCGAAACTCCGAGTCCCCTGCCGCATCGTATCATAACCAACACCAACATTACCACCTGCTTAGCCTACCACCTAGAGACTGTTTTGGAGTCGTATTGAGTTGGCGTTGGGAGGGAAGAGACGAAATACAACCATCTCGCGCGACGCGCCCAAAACCCCTGGAGTGGCAAGCGCTGAAGTCTGAATGAAGTTGCCTCATTCTCATGCCTGCAAATGTCATTGAAAGTGAACGTCACACCGGTTAATTGTCTGGCAGTTTTAACTGCCGCGTACGGAGTCGGTGCGTGAATTAAATTGCCCTGGATTTCGGAGCGTACTCCGGCCATTATACGGTGGATGGGCGACACTGCAGTTCAGTCCAGTAACGGAGTTCTACATGCTGTCACGATGCCTATGGAGTGCCTGGCTGGCGTAATATGCCGCACAGTTTTGTCCTTTCGTTTTAACTCAGGCTAACCCAAGATGGCTTAGGATGCCCTTTATTGTAATATTTTTTGGAGTTTGTTTGACGGATATTTGACAAAATCACTGACTATTTTATGCGGTGGTTTCTTAGCTGCATGATGCGCACAGCGCAATATTCATGAAGAAAAGCGACGGTAGTGTTAATGGTCTTTTAACTCTTTAGTCTTACAATCCGTACCTATCTTATTCTAGAATTCTAGATTTTCTTTAGTGGTGACTGGTGCACATAATTATCGGTCCTATTCATAATCGCTTGTTTCAGTTGGCCTTTTGCTGTGCTTATTGAAATGCTTATTTTGGGATACCTCTAAGAATAGTTCAATTAAGAATAGCTTATACAACTCTAGCCCAGCGAGCATCGTTGCGTTGATATCAGTTTACGTCATGACATTGTCCACAAAGTCGACTGCAGTCGACTATTTTTCGTCACGGTCCGGGAGTTTGAACGTTTCACTTTTGTGCGTGATGGTTGACGGTGACATTTTTGCCGATATTGCACTGTGCGCGCTATGACGACAGGTTCCCATCCGTCCAGCGTGTAATCTCGCCCCATGATACGCTTATTGACTTTTGACTGCACCCTCCGAGCAACGGTTACGTAAAATATAGCGAGGGGACACTTTCGCTTATGTCATAGGAGCTGATTTAATGCCAGGGACCGTCAAAAACGAGAAGGAAAATAAATTGTAAATGCGCTCGAACACAATGAGCCCGACACCGACGCGACCTAAAACTCGAACTAACGACCTGAGTTGCATTGTGTATCTCAAATTGCCGAGCATTCCCCGCGCACACGTCGCCACGGTCATAGAATACTGAAGTGCTCAGAGCGCCGACACGCGCGATGCATGCGCTGATGCCATTGAGCTGACGGTCGGGTTACCTGTCTGTGTTCGCAGATACGGTGAAGCTGCCCTCGGAGAAGTTCGTCAAGCAGGACGGCGGGCCCATCGAGATGACGAACGATCGCAAACAATTCCTTCTGAGCTCAGCAGAGGAGTTGTATGCCGACATCAGGTTAGGGTAGCGGGGAATGGGAGGTCAGATGGGGTGACAGGCCGGACCCAGAGGGTGTTCACTGTTCAGGTCACGGCTCTGGGAGGTAAGGTCAGTGGGGTAAGGTTAGTGAGGGAGTGAGAAAGTGACTCTCGGAGGCTAGGTAATGGGGGACGTCAGGCTAGGAAGGTCATAGGGCGGTTGCGGTGCTTTTTGCGATTCGACTCATCATCTAAGATAGGGAACTTGGCCAGTTGTATCCCGAGCTTTTAGCATTGCCGCTTATGTGTAAGTTTCTCTGCATGTTGGCGTGTATGTTCATGCTTTCGGTCATTGTTCCAGGGATAAGAACTTCAACGCGGTTGGTCCGGCCCTCAGCAGGAAGGCGAAGCAGATCTCCGCCCAGTACGAGGAGCGACATTCTCAGTCGGTTAGCGAGATGAAAAACTTTGTCAAGAACGTGCTGCCGACCATCAAAGCCGCCAAGGAGTCACTCGGACTGCGTGAGTAATGAGTTTATTGACAATCCTGATGTGAATAGTTTGTGAAAGACTTCTACAGTTATTATACCCCACCGCAGATAACTTAAATGGTTCAATATTATATGGTGTTATTACGTGATGTGATTGTTTTCGCCCACTGGGGCACCGATCTCGTAGCTATTCACTAGTAAAGGCTATGCGTGCTAAGGTTTTATCTTTTTATATTTAATGTTTTTTTAGGCATTTAAAAATAATAATTTTGACTCGTCATCACTAAACTGACCCGTTTGCCACCTTCACTCACAGACACGTCGATCGCCGAGCTGATCAAGGAGCGCACCGACAGCGAGTCATTCCTGGAGGCGCTGCAGACCGAGCAGGAGATGATGAACGCCATCGACACAGACCGGGCGCACCCGCACATCGAGCAGCTCATCGCCAAAAAGGCCGACCTCACCCGGGTGGGTGACGGGGTGCGCAACAGCGCCGGGCATAGAGTAGATGGGCAGTTGTTTTTTTTTCTGAGGATTTCTGTCGTGGCTGGATTAAACTATCAAGACTAAACGTTTTTCTTTGAAATGTATATGATAAATATAGTGTTTGTGAATGTAAAACTGAGATGAAATGGATATTCATTACTTGAAGACGTTTCACCAATTTTCCTTTTTCCTGCGTACTCGTAGTAGCTGGGCTGCTGTGGCGTCGGGTTTTGTACTCTTACTCGAGTGCTGCGACTATCTATCCACAATGTCGGTCTGACTCGCTCGTTTCACCGGACAGGTCCTACGGTTGATCTGTCTGCAATCCGCCTGCAACTCTGGCCTGAAGCCGCGCCTGATGGACCAATACCGACGCGACCTGCTCCAGACCTACGGCTTCCAGCACGCGCTGACCCTGAACAACCTGGAGCGGGCGAGTCTGCTGCGCACACAGGGACGCACCACCTACAGCGCTCTGCGGCGGCAGCTGAAACTTACCGTGGATGATGTGAACGAACAGGCGCCCACCGATATATCCTACACGTTCAGCGGGTGAGGATTACAGTCGGGGCGTGGCGGGACGGCTGATGGGGCGAAACGTGACTGGGGCAGGGCAAGGGTGGGGGGAGGAAACGGGCAGTGCGACGGCGGCTGGTTTAGACAGAATGTATTGTTTAAAGGGTTGAGTCAGTTGCCGCCTTGTTATTTTCGATTCACCGGCAGTATTTTGGTTCGATGTTTACCATTATCGCCACCGTCAGGACGCCATAATAGTGCAGTCATGTTACTGATAATGGGGCATTGTTGTCGGGTGGTAATTGTCCAGTCACGGACGGGGGGCCGCAGCGGCGCGCCGGCCGGCCGGAAATGAGCCGTTACCAACGAGCCCGTCTGCCGGGCCTGTCTGGAGGCACCCGACCAGCGGCACGATCAGGAAGCCCGGAACAGAAAGCGTGACCGTTTATCATATCACCGATTGTGTAACTTTAAACTTAGAACGACAATCAACATTTCATCGAACCAGTAACCGTTTCGACTGGGTATGGTTTTAACACGCGCAGTGGAAGGGGGGGGGGGGCGGATTTCGCCCACCCCTCCTGTTTTTCGCCAATAACTCGCGCCGCAAGCATAATATCAATGTGAAATTCCGGCTACTTGTCCAGAATTGAATTGCGGATCTTCTCGCGCAAGAAGTAAGAAAATCGGTTCACAACTTTTCTAGTAATAGCGGTGTAAAGTCAAACATCCTGCCGCCGCGGCGGCGCGGCGGCCGGCGCTAGCCGTTACGCGCCGCCTGAATTGTAGACTGTGCCGGGGCGGGACGGTTCCGCCTTTACATCGCGCTCCTTACCGCTGATTATATTAGATTCGCGTCAAATTCGGTGAGAAGACTGAGAAATGTACAGGCAATCATATGGTCAAAGAATTTTGAAAATCGGCCGGTAACAACTTGAGTTATGAGTGTGTAAACACAAAATTGTGATTGCCGCATTTCCCGCGTCGGCCGATGCCGCCTCAGCCGGCGACATCTTACCCTTCGCAGGCTTCTAACTGCCATATTTATTGTTGGATCATCTAGAAATTCACCATACATACTCACAAATGTTTGCTCTTTCGTATAGTGAAAGATTAAAAAAAAAATCGGCCGGAAACTTTTTGAGTTATCGGCGTGTAAACGCAAAAAAGTCGCTAATATGGCACATTTGACCTCATTTGACCTTGAAGATATTGACCTAGGGTCATGAAATTCACACACAACAGAGTTCCCCAAGGCCTTCACCTACCCTCCAAATTTCGTCTTTCTAGCTCCAGTGGGAGCTGATATCTTAGGGGGGGGGGCGACATCCGCCCCCCCCCCCTTCCACTGGGCGTAGTACTCGCAACCCTTCCACTGCGCGTGTTAAAGTACCGGTTGTTGTTTCGATTATTATTTTTATTTGTTTGATGAAATTCGTTCGTTCTGCTTACTGAAGCACATATTCCTGGTGCGCCTGTCAACTTGTTGCTAAACGACATTTAAACGCAGGATATTCAGCCGAAAGATTAGGAAGCCACCGGTTACAATAGAAAAGCACTACTCTAACGAATTATTGAACACAAACCTACGGTTACCAGCTAAGCCTCTGGAACAAACGACTTCACATCCCCCGTATCGCAGCTCGATATCACCTCACACACCCGCGCCTCGCTGCAGATACGCGCCGCTGTCTGTGCGGCTGGCGCAGCTGCTGGCGCGGCCCGGCTGGCGCTCAGTGTCCGAGGCCCTGGCGCTGCTGCCCGGCCCGACCCTGATGGAGGAGCAGCCGGCGCCGGCGGCCGCGCGCAACCGGCGCGACACCGGCCCGCTGGGACTGAGCGCCGACGACGCCCGACTCACTCTGGTCGTGTTCCTCGGCGGAGCGACGTTCGCGGAGGTAGCCGCGCTGCGCTTCCTCTCCAGCCAGGAGGACGGTAAGGAAAGGACTGGACCAGGTATAGGTGGGAGCTGAGGGCACTCACATAGATACATTTACACGTTATCTTTTTTGTGTCGATGGTATTAATTTTGACCTCAAGTTGTCGCTGTCCTTAAACTTACGCCGTTCCACTCTGCCCACAGCACCAACCGAGTACGTCATAGCGACCACCAAGATGATCAACGGCAACTCCCTGATCAGTTCGCTGTCAGAGGAGCTGGTACCGGTGGGCGGCGCGTAGGCAGGCGGATAGGCAGCGCGTAGGCGGTCGGACGGGACAGGTGGCGCCTGAACGGTGAGGGACATACGGCAACCGGCGCCCAGCGTAGCGGTCTAGCGGCAAAGGCTGTGCTCATCACTTTTCATGCGTGCCGAAGCTTGCCGATGGCGAGTCGCTGTTTGCCGGACTGTCACCGCGGCTACCCGGGCCAGGCTTTTGGTCTCGACTGAGTCTTGACTGAGAGGTCACAATTTTCTTGACCAAAGCGTCACCTGGAGACAAGAGTGCCGCGTCCGGTAGGCTCCTCTCGCCTTCGGTGAGCTCTTGCCTCGCCTCGCTCCGTTGCGCTGGCCGCCGCTGAAAGACATTCCCAATCACTGGCTATTGTAACTCCATTGCCGTCGGTCGGTGGGATGGAAAATGAATATCTATGAAAACTCGCTTACCCAGCTACTGGTACTGTGCACCGGCAGGCTGGGATGTCAGGTATTGTGTGTGAACTATGGTTTACTTTATCCGAAACGGAAATATATCTGCATTGTTATTTTTCTAGCCCTTGTGTTCCCGCTATATGGTATTATGAGGATGTCCACGCTTCTATGTAGTGTAAGTCATCAAACGCTGCCACGTGTTGAATTGTATCTACAAGAGCGGAGCGATTATCCGCAGGATTGCCATTGAACGTATATTGCAGTGCATGCTATTGTGTCGTCGCCGCCGGGTACGTATGAGTGCATATCGCTATATACATGCATACCTATATGAACATTCCATCATTTTTGAACCTGCGATTCCAAACAGATGAACATTAAACATGGGGGGGGGAGACGGGACGAAGGTTTACGCTAGTAAAAAACTTATGCGCCTCAATAGATGCGATTTACAAGACCTAAAGGCTAGTTGATGTTGCCTTTCTGCACAGGTTACGATTTCACTCAGTAACTGCAACGAGCAACAATTTTACTCAAGCTTACGCAGAGCATGGCAAGCGCATGCCAACTGTGGTTGATGCTAACCAGTAAAACGCCTTTTGGGCGACCAACGGAGCGAGCGAGAGGATGGGCCTTGCACGTGCGAAATTGCGAGGGGGTACCTCCAACTAACTTGTGAACTGCACCCTACTAACCGGTCTTTAGCGATGTGCCAAATTTCAGCGCAATCGGCCTAGCCGTTCTCGAGATCTGGAAGCGGCACACTGCACGTGCGCACGTGCAAGCGGGGTCCAAACTGACTTTTGCACGGCACCCTACTAACTGGTCCCCAACCGTGTACCAAATTTGAGCGCAATCGGCCCAGCCGTTCTCGAGATCTGGGAGCGCCCCCTGCACGTGCGCACGTGCTGTAGCACCCCAACCTTAACACATGCAGATGAATTATCTAATGGTGACCTAACTGTGTACCGAGTTCAATTCAATCGGCCCAACCGTTGTGCCGTTATTGAGGTTGCAATTTTGGGGGTTCTTAAAAAATGTCCAACTTTACCACGCGCCACGTGCGGTGGTTGGCAAGAACGCATGGTGGCCATCACACCACAGAACTTTTACGTCCAAGTGACATTCAGTAAAGAAGACCGCTTGTCAATCGGATGTCCCGTTCCTAAGATATTAGCTTTTAAAGAGCGTCCCCACGGCCGGCCGGCTGGCCGGCCGGCCGGCCGCTCATACTCAGGATTTTCCCTTAACCCGCGCGGGGCTGGGGGGGTAAATTTTACCCCCCCTCGCGAATTTTTGCAATATCTCAAAAACGGCGGCGCGCAGCGCCGCCAAACTTTCAGTACCTTTTCTTACATCAATTTGACACGTTCCCTGAAAATTTGAGCGAAATCCGTCGGAAAATTTTTGAGAAATTGACGTTTTAGTGACGTCATGTTCGCCATTTTCGCCTCAAAAACGGAAAAAGTTCAAACGCCGCTAACATCTTCATTTTTAAAGGAATCAAGACGTAACAAAAAAGGATATACGTAATTCTACTTTGTCTATCAAATGGCTATCTCGGTTTTTTGAAATTTTTGGATTTTGACCCATTTTTTTTTCTAAAAAAAACTGACTTTTTTGGGAAAATAACTATAAAATCAAAAATTTTAAGTGTATCGAAAAAACCGGAATATATGTCAGAGAAGTGGTCTATGTGCACCTACATACCAAGTTTTAGAAGAATCGGTTCAAAAATGTGGGAGTTATTCAAAATTGTATGACGTCACGACACACAAAAACTTTGAAAAATGACTTTTTTGGAAGTTCTAGACCTCGTACGGAAACAAAAATAGCACCATTCGATTCGCCATGAAAAACTGCATCAGATAGACACCTTTTTAGACCTTAACAACCAACTTCAAAATTTGACCTCACTTGACCTGACCTTGACCTGACCTCGACCTGAAATTCATCCAGAGGTGGTCCATATCACTTATTGAGTGTGCCTATTGAATTCTATGAGTAAAATGACCCATAAAACATGTGTCGCACATGCCCTTTTCTATATTTTGTTTTTGGTGACCTGACCTGACCTGACCTTGACCTTGACCTTTGAATGATATTGTATGCAACGAATATTGTCTTGGTAGCCTAAGAACACGTTTTGGGCGATCAGTCTCAGTCCATGACTCCATTCTTCGGCAACTACGATGCAAGGCCGATACTGTAGGAACTTGCAATTTGTACCCTTGACCTGACCTTGACCTTGACCTCAAACTTAAAATTAAGTACATGTTTTTAGTTGTTCATGATGAGATCTTTCGATTGGCGTTTGAATTTTCCAAATCGGACCATTAGTTCGGGAGATAACAGGGGGGTAAAATTTACCCCCCCCCCCCCCAGCCCCGCGCGTTCGGCTGGAGACCCCAGCCCCGCGCGGGTTAATTCAGTATGGGACTCCGCTCGCTTCGCTCGCTCCGTAATTATTGTTTGGACGGCGCGTAAAGCTCCGAATCCCGCATCAGCTAAAATAAAGCGCTGTGTATATGTATGTATTGTTGACTCGTATACTTTACCAGTATTTAAACATCATTAATATATTGTGCAGCACAAATAAATGGACGTAAAACAATCCCGTTGCTCATTAGCACGATTACACAGTACACACTATGGGCTGTATTGGGTAATGGGTATGTGGATAAACAAATCAATAAAGCCGCAGCACACAGCCCTTGCATGAAATAGTCGGTGTATGGTAACCGGATAGGCGATACTATCCATTGCCATGCTGGTGACACCCACAAAACAAAACCATCACATAAGGCTGCAGCAGCAACACGATATATAGCACACCGCCTTTATCCTGTAATAACATAGACACAGCCAAGAGCAGCGCCAGCTCACATTGGGCAGACCAGCTAGCACTCAGCTCCATCGAGTCCAGTTGGGTCCACGAGGCCCTACCAACTCGACGAAATTATACAGCAGGCAGGATCGGCCACCGAGCCCAGTCAGCGACACCAGAGGCAGAGCCCACGCGCCATCGCTGAACCGTCTACAAATGTCTCCACAGTACAAATTTACGCGGCTTGGACAGCACAGCATATTCATCCTCCCGTGTCCGACCTCATCCAGTGAGTCCCTACACCACCAGCGGCGCCGCTTGAGTAGGGACTGGGCGTCTGCCGCGACTAAAGGGGTCCCGCGTCCGTCGGGGTTAGGGTTCGAGCGCCTGTCGGTACTAGGGTCTGAGTCCGTCGCTTGACTAGGGTTCGAGCGTCCGCCGCGACTAGGGTTTGAGCGTCTGCCGGTACTGGCCGATCTGCTGCAGCACTGACCGGTTGTTGGGACCACACAAGCCCTCCACGTACGCCAGCGCGTCACGGTCGCGCTGCTCGAACGCGATCCGGGCCGCGTCCTCCAGCAGCCTGAAACGGGCGACGGTTTTCAATCAAAACCGGGGTGGTGGTTTTGCGAACTGGTTTTTGCGTTCCCACTGACAAACGTCAGGGGCGCAGTGTCAGATAAACGTGCGCTTTATGTTAATTCTTCGGCATGGGGAGTTTTCCACGAGAGTTTAATTTTAGATTTAATCACACGCGTAACAAGCAGCGAGTGTTGTTTACCTGGATTGAAAAAAAACGCAATGCACCTGATACAAAATATCATAACTGGACGAGAGACATACAACTGTAACTACCGAACACCCGCTTGGCGCGTCTTCCCTACGACTCATATGGGTCGAAATGGAGTCTTACCCGGCCTTGGCGTAGTACTTGACTTTGTTTTCGTCGTTGACGCGGGGAAGGTACTTTTTGGCCTCGACTAGGCTGCCGTGCTCTAGACACGCGTCCACGAAGGGCTGCAACGAGACACAATCCGAGGCACGTCAGTGATGGCTACCGCCCGGCTCACAGCGACTACCCGCACAACGGGGAAGAACAGCTCGAGGGAGACCTGTGATGCCTTAGAGAAAAGATCCCAAAATTCAATAAAAATATAACAATTAAAAAGAAAAAATACCTCCTAGGCTGAAGCTGTGTCCGTCTGAATATGAGGATGTTCTACTTAGTTGTGACTGGGGATGTTGGCTTGAAAGCTGCACATTAACGGAAAGAATAAGACAATGCCGAAAACGTTTTCACTCACCTCGTATCCGACGGGCGACTTTTTGCTCTTGGCGAACTTCTCCAATTCGGTCCACTGCTCTCCCTCCGCCAGCGCAAGCAACTTGGTCCACCAGAACCTGAGCCACAAACATCGCTTATCAACGAAGGAACTCAATTGATTCACTGTAACATTCTATCGTCCTTGACTATAACGTAATTAGCTGAGCAGACGGTACCAAGTTCTTTTGACAAGTACCATTTTACAACATTCACGTCATGATAGCTCGCCTCGAGCTCACTTAAGTACGTGCCGTTTGTCTGATATTTTGTACTGGATACGCACGGCCGTTTGTCCGATATTTTGGACTGGACACGTACCGTTCCGTCGGATATTTTGTACTGGACACCTACCGTTTGTCGGAGATTTTGTACTCGTTGCGTAGGCTGTCGGCCAGCTTGTGTCGGTCCGACAGGATCAGCTGTTTGATGGTGTCTTGCAGAGACAGACCGACGTACTCCCGGTTACAGCTCTCCTCCAGACTCGACTGCAAAAGAGACAGATATGTTGGAACTCTGTTGATGAAGCTTTAAATACAGTCATCGAGTTCATCGTTCTGCTTTTTCTTTCAATACATAAGGTCTACTTAACTCGATACGACAAAGAGCTGATGTCTAATAGACGCATCTGTCATTTTCTTCGGGCATTGTTTATATACTTTTCCTCTTGTTAGCTGTCATAAAATCATATAGCCTTTAGGAACAGCCATGACCCTAAGACGTGCTTCTCTGGGTGTCAGCAACAATCAGATAGCTACTGTATCTCGCCTGGTATTTCAGCAGCTTGTGCTGGTCCTCGGTCTGAGTAGCCCAGAACTCGTTCTTGGCCTTTTTGTAGCAGTCCTGGGCGGCCACCAGATGCGATATCCTTAGATCCACGCGCTGTGAACGGTAACAGACCACCGTATGAAATTACTACACTAGCAAAAGTAAAAACAGAGCCATAACTGAAAGCCAAAACAAAGCTTTTCAACACACCGTAGACATCCCTCGACAACGCCCGAAACCACAGTCAAAGCTTCAACTAATTGATTATCATTAATCAAAGCTATTCATCTCACCCCTCCTCTACAATTAACATCTCCGTCCCTGGTCTTTTCACTGACCCCCTGTCTGACCACTCACCGTCTCTTTGTACGACTCGGCGATGCGCAGGCGCGCCTGTCCGTCAAAGTCGTCCTCCTGAATGAGTCCGTCTCGCACCAGCTCGGTCTGACCGCGGCTCCGCAGGTACTTCATATAGAGGGACTGCATCAGTGGGTAGTTGCGGATGAGCATCTGTCGAAACAGGCGGGACGAGCCTTGGTACGCGGCAAGAGTACCAGCAGACGGTGCAGGCATACTCCGTCTCGGGGATGGTCAATAAGAGCTCAACAGGAGTTTTATAGGAGCTCCTAAGAGCTCAACATGTCGATTGGCCATCATGGGCACCGATACCACGCACCGCGCCGCCGCAGTACGTTCTCGGCACTGAGCCGCTGCATTAGACCTCACCTGGAACTCTGCCCGTCCGCGGGCGTCCCTGAGCTGCAGGAGTGCCGAGTGCGCCAGGTCCGGGTCTCCGGAGTCGGCGGCCCGCTTCAGAGCCTCGTCACACATGTTGAGGTCGATCAGCAGCGGCACGGTACGCCGCGCCTGCTGCTCCATCGCCAGTAACTGGAATGGAAAAACGAAGGTCAGAAGAGAGCTACCTGAGCTTAGCTTAGCCTCTTCCCTGAAGATTAGTTCGCTTTCTATACTGAAATCACACTCCACAGAGCAAATATGTAAGGTCTCAACACCTAAACGACTAACTAGTTACAAAATTCAACGATTGTATCCTAACAACGACTTCACTTTATACGATTAAAGAACATCCTTAATTCCTTACATAGCTATATCGACGACTTCAGTTTACAACGCATCACAAAAAGCACGCCAGCGCGGCAGCTCCGAAGCCCACCCCTGTAGCCCCGCAGCGCTTCATCACCTGTATGGCAGTGCCGCGCTTCCCGGCCGCGATGGCCGTCTTGGCCACGTCGGCGAACGATATTCCCGACTGGGAGCCGAGCCGGTCGGCAATCTGTCGCGCCACCGCCTGTCCCTCGCCGTCCGAGCTGACCACCAGGTGTTTGGCCCAGGCCTCGAGCACCCGGCGCTGGTCGGCGTGCGGCACCGGCTGCAGCTGGCGGCACACGCGCAGCGCCAAAAAGTGCAGCCGGCGCCGCATCAGCCGGTCCAGCAGTGCCGGCACCGGCATCTGACGCAGTCTGACGGAGGGAGGCGGAGGGGGGGGGGGTGTACTGAGGGCAGGGAGATGCATTGACAGCCATGAATACAAAGTACAATACAGTCACATCCCTGACGGTTTGTGTTGCAGTGTCCAGTAAACACGATTGATTCAATGGATCGAACCTGCATAGACCTGCTTATAGTTTGTCATTCAATTCAACCTCAGATGTTATCTGTCGAAAGATTCATTTTGTCCTTCCGGACTACTAAGAAGTGTGCAATGAGAAAATGGCCGAAGAAAGACTGTAACTACATTTTTCAGCTCACAGCCGAGTCCGATACGTATTCCTCAAGTTACTGCTGCAAGTTCAGCACGCATCAACATCGACTCTGTCCCTCTCCCCTCCCCGACTCACTGTCCTATGGTGAGCGGCATGCTGTGGCTGTGGTGCCTCAGTGAGTTGAGCACGTCCCTCTATCCCTGTCTCACTACTCACTGTCCCATGGTGAGCGGCATGCCGTGGCTGTGGTGCCTCAGTGAGTTGAGCACGTCCCTCTATCCCTGTCTCACTACTCACTGTCCCATGGTGAGTGGCATGCCGTGGCTGTGGTGCCTCAGTGAGTTGAGCACGTCCCTCTATCCCTGTCTCACTACTCACTGTCCCATGGTGAGCGGCATGCCGTGGCTGTGGTGCCTCAGTGAGTTGAGCACGTCCCTCTATCCCTGTCTCACTACTCACTGTCCCGTGGTGAGTGGCATGCCGTGGCTGTGGTGCCTCAGTGAGTTGAGCACGTCCCTCTATCCCTGTCTCACTACTCACTGTCCCATGGTGAGCGGCATGCCGTGGCTGTGGTGCCTCAGTGAGTTAAGCACGTCCCTCTATCCCTGTCTCACTACTCACTGTCCCATGGTGAGTGGCATGCCGTGGCTGTGGTGCCTCAGTGAGTTGAGCACGTCCCTCTATCCCTGTCTCACTACTCACTGTCCCATGGTGAGTGGCATGCTGTGGCTGTGGTGCCTCAGTGAGTTGAGCACGTCCCTCTATCCCTGTCTCACTACTCACTGTCCCATGGTGAGTGGCATGCCGTGGCTGTGGTGCCTCAGTGAGTTGAGCACGTCCCTCTATCCCTGTCTTACTACTCACTGTCCCATGGTGAGCGGCATGCCGTGGCTGTGGTGCCTCAGTGAGTTAAGCACGTCCCTCTATCCCTGTCTCACTACTCACTGTCCCATGGTGAGTGGCATGCCGTGGCTGTGGTGCCTCAGTGAGTTGAGCACGTCCCTCTATCCCTGTCTCACTACTCACTGTCCCATGGTGAGTGGCATGCCGTGGCTGTGGTGCCTCAGTGAGTTGAGCACGTCCCTCTATCCCTGTCTTACTACTCACTGTCCCATGGTGAGCGGCATGCCGTGGCTGTGGTGCCTCAGTGAGTTAAGCACGTCCCTCTATCCCTGTCTCACTACTCACTGTCCCATGGTGAGTGGCATGCCGTGGCTATGGTGTTGAGTACGTCCCTCTATCCCTGTCTCACTACTCACTGTCCCATGGTGAGCGGCATGCCGTGGCTGTGGTGCCTCAGTGAGTTGAGCACGTCCCTCTATCCCTGTCTTACTACTCACTGTCCCATGGTGAGCGGCATGCCGTGGCTGTGGTGCCTCAGTGAGTTGAGCACGTCCCTCTATCCCTGTCTTACTACTCACTGTCCCATGATGAGCGGCATGCCGTGGCTGTGGTGCCTCAGTGAGTTGAGCACGTCCCTCTATCCCTGTCTTACTACTCACTGTCCCATGGTGAGCGGCATGCCGTGACTGTGGTGCCTCAGTGAGTTGAGCACGCGCAGGTAGCGGCACGTCGACACAAACAGCTCCGGGTCCAGCTCAGACACGAAACTCTTGCCGTACTGCGCCGCCTGCAAACGATACAACGAGTGAACTAAAGAAGTGTTTAGATCAATGAGCTGCTAGAATGCACAAACATTTGAGTTTGGAATTCAGTAAGACGCACAAACAGAACAGAGCACCAGAGTTGCTGCACTTATATTTATGGCTATGCACATCCGAAAGCAAGAGTTTAACTGGATATTGTAGTTAAGCTATCAAATCAACAAAAAGAGTAATACTGAGGAAGCTGCAATGACTGAAATTCAGTAGAGCGTGTTACGCTGTTACTCGATACTGAAGGGCGAAGGAACACAAAATCCAGTACTATGCGTTATTTACTGACCCTGAGCAGGAGTTTCTGAACCTGCGGGTTGTGCTCGTGGCCAGCCGCCTCGATACAGGAGGTGACCGCCTGGTTCAGCCGAGTCAGGATCATCCGCAGATACTCGTCCGCCAGATGGCTCCGCTTCTGCTCGGAGACAGAGGAAAGCCGGTGATCAGAAAACATGAGCACCAAAAGCCAGTGTCAGCTGCAAGATTTCTTGACGTACCATAGCCTGTGCATTCAACCATCTAGTATCGATCGAAGACCACAATGATATTCTAGCTGTAAATGTAAGAAGTGAGCATTGACCGAAGGCAAAACACGTCCTTACAGGGCCTCTGTTAACCGGCGAGTGCTGGGAGGGTAGTTTCACTGACCTCATACTCGCGGTGTGTCTCCACCAGGACGGCTGCCGGGTCCATGGAGCCGATACGGAACACGGCCACGGAGTCACTCCACACCTGGGAATAAGGAGGCCGTGTCAACAGCTGACATCAGCCGATACGGAACATGACCACTGAGTTGCTCTATACCTGCACAGAGCCCACAGGGGAATGGGGATGGAAAAGCAATCCGCAAATACCCTCCACAGAAAAAAATGCACGTGGTTACCTACGGAATTGGTACTTACGACAGCCGAAGACACGAGCCGTTTGCTAATATTTACCAGCTTCAAGGTGAGCAAAAATTTTAGTCATTCCCTGCGGCGCGTACCTGTTCGATGAGCTCGTGGCTGTAGGGTGTCACCAGTCGGATGCAGTCACACTCGGCACACAGCTGGCCGGGCACGTCCAGGCCGTATTTGATGGTCTCTCCGCGCCGGTTCACCACCAGCAGACTGCTGTTCCAGTAGCCCACCACCGCGTACGAGCCGCACCTGGGCGGGCAGCGACGGCACGGCGGTGAAAATATGTTGATAGGACACATAATATTGGGCAACGAGGTTGATGGTGATAATATCGACTAAGAGCGGCCTAATTGCACTAGTCATCTCAGAGCATTCAGCTGCAGCTGGTGAAAGAATTAATTAGTAGAGGGTCCGGAAAATGTGCACACAACAGTACAACTTCTTTACATTTAGCTTTGCAACTTATGTATTGATCCCAGCCATAGATCGGCAGAGCCTGTGTCGCTAGCTGGACTTCCTGAACAATAAGTTACTCTCCACTCAATATCCTCCCGTCCACCTGACTGACCACTGGAGCTGTTTGGCCGGCTGGCGGGCGCCCGTGTCCACTGTGCAGAACGTCTGACGCAGATCCAGTGACGTCAGCACCAGGTGACCCGAGTCAGTAAGCGCCGCCAGCAGGTCCCCGGCACGGTTCGTCACCAGCTGCGTGACCCGCTGCGCCGCCGCCGGCAGAGTTATCGCCTGAAAAGGTGGGGAGGGGCGTTAGAGCTGGCTAGTGTTATCAACATGAGGAGCGGAGCGAAATTAACGAGCCGTCTACGAGAAGAATTTCAAGCCAGAACGACCTGACGGGATGGTGGAAATAGTAACAGCTAGGAAATTACTAGGCATAATCATTGAAAAATGAACACGACGCGTACAATGCCTGGCGAGTAAAAAAAAAAAAAAAAATAATGTCAAGAATTGTGTGTGCAAAGGCCGGAAGCTGTATGACCATTGAAAGCTGTTTGCTAAAAAATCATAGCCAAAAACAAAAATTTAAACAATAATAGTTTCTTGCATTCACTGCATCATTTCCACCTACGTTCCTCACATCAGACCATATTCTCTCATCACACACTCACCAGCGGCTGAGCCTTGGAGTCGGCCTCCAGCAGTGAGACCTCCAGTCCCTTGGCCACCAGTACCGCTGACCGGTATCGGTCGGCCGTGGTCACCCAGCAGCTCGGAGGTCCGCTGCCACCTGGCGGACAGACAACGAACTAAGAACACCGACGGCCGAATACACCGTCGCTGCCACATGCTTCAACCGGCTGACAGCACCAAGAGAGAATGTCTTCGATTGAACTAGAAATTCTACGATAGGTAATCCAAGCTAACTTTGACACAAGTAAGAGAAAACCCTGTATTTATAGCTCGCATTAAGTAGCGATGCAAGTACTGCACAGCTGAGCTGACCAATGTATTGTATCCATTACCCATCCTCCTCATTCGGCCACGGTTTCACTCCACCTCTCTATCTCAACTGCACGTACCGGGCGCGTCGGGCAGCTTTTTGACGAGCGGCTGCTCCAACGATGTGGTCATGTAGAAGCGCTGGTTGCGGCACAGCACCGCCAGTCCGGTGCCCTGGTGACTGAGGAACACGGACGCAGACTCCACCGTGAACTTTTTCACCTCCTGGGGACAGCGGCCGACAGATCAAACGGTCAGACGACAGAACATGCAAGGAAGATAGGTACACTAGAGAAATAAAGCAAAGCAGCAGACAACACGAAAAGGACAAAACAAGCGCAAAAATGTAAACATCACCGTAGCACCGTCTTCGAACGCAATGCATAAACTTCAATTTTACTACGAGCGAGCGAGCGCAGCGAGCGAGCGAGTTCATACTGAATTAAGGGAAAATCCTGAGTATGAGCCCACGGCCGGCCGGCCGGCCGGCCGTGGGGACGCTCTTCAAAAGCTAATATCTTAGGAACGGGACATCCGATTGACAAGCGGTCTTCTTTACTGAATGTCACTTGGACGTAAAAGTTCTGTGGTGTGATGGCCACCATGCGTTCTTGCCAACCACAGCACGTGGCGCGTGGTAAAATTGGACATTTTTTAAGAACCCCCAAAATTGCAACCTCAATAACGGCACAACGGTTGGGCCGATTGAATTGAAACTCGGTACACAGTTAGGTCTCCATCAGATAATTCATCTGCATGTGTTAAGGTTGGGGTGCTACAGCACGTGCGCACGTGCAGGGGGCGCTCCCAGATCTCGAGAACGGCTGGGCCGATTGCGCTCAAATTTGGTACACGGTTGGGGACCAGTTAGTAGGGTGCCGTGCAAAAGTCAGTTTGGACCCCGCTTGCACGTGCGCACGTGCAGAATGCCGCTTCCAGATCTCAGGAACGGCTGGGCCGATTGCGTTCAAATTTGGCACACCGCTAGCGACCGGTTAAAAGGGTGCTTTGCACAAGCCCGTTGGAAGTACCCTCTCGCCCTTGCGCACGTGCAGGGCTCACTATCTCGCTCGCTCGTTCTTCGCCCAAAAGGCGTTTTACTGGTTTTTAGCTAGGTGGCGTTTAAGTCACAATTCTTGTTTAAATCAGAGTTAAAATGTGAATTCAAAAACAATCATTGAGAGTGGCACCGAACTCATCTCCCTACGGACCTGTCCCAGGCTGAGTGAGCGCTCCATCTTTCCGAACATGTCGTAAACGGAGACCTGTCCGGCCGCGTCCACCAGCACCAGGCGCTCGTCGTCGCTCCAGCCGGCGCCGGCCAGCTGACCGTTCCACTGTGGACAGGGGGGTCTCTGGGGTCACCAGCGGCTGTGGTCCGTCATGAACCGTGCCTGATCATGAACCCCAACTTTCTCTCCGATGACATTTTGCAACTCATAGGGGTGAAAAGGTTCAGATGAAGCATGGCCAAATGTTTGTTCAGAATAGTTCGGGAAAATTATGTACAATGTACAACGTGGGACGTACATGACAAATTCGGAAAACAGAGACAAGCAGCATCCAGCACTGGGGAAGATATGCGTCTGTCGTCTAGATTATAAAAAATGTGCTTAGCAGCACCACCCCATCTACCACACCATGCTGCCCTGACTGACCTTGGCCAGTCCGAGGCTCTCGCCGGCGCCGTTGTAGATCATGATGGGCACGGCCGAGTTGGAGACGTCGCGACAGACGGCGATCGGCCCACCCGAGCTGGCCACACAGACCAGCGTGCGCTCCGTCCAGTCGCACTCGGCCCACGACATGGGGTACAGCTCGTGACGCCTGAGGGCGATGGGACAGTGAACAGGAGACACTAGCACTGCAGCTGACCAGGTCACAGGATATAAACTGGGAGGATCTACACGTATTTATGAAGGAGCAAGATATAGAAGTTACAATGCATTTTGCAGTGAAAAACTTATTACTGTAAGGTATATCAGTTGCAAGTCATAATTTTACCTAGATAATAGCAGGTTTGGATGCTGAAAATCGTTGAATAAGCGTTTAACACTTACATATTAACTTTATAAACTTATGTAAAAATGGAAAAGAAGAATGTCAGCCAGTCCCTGATGGAAAAAACCTTACCTGAAGAAAGTGTCATCGTTTATTGGAGTCCAGTCTGATGTATATAAAGCCATGATAGTCCTGAACTTTTCTCTGATATTTGCAGCCTTTCACTTTTAGTTACAATCACTTCTATTCAGTAGATGAAACCAGTGAGCTGAAAAATTGTTACAATAAACATTTTAATGGATAAAATGTGCATTGTGTGTGGTGCAGTCAGCAGTTCTGTGCCAAGTTCAACTAAGCTTAATAAGTCAAAAGATGCCAAATATACATATCGTTTCAAACTAAAAATGAGTGTAAACAGGCATGCAATTTAAAAGACTACCAAAATATACCATGTGAGCCTTCAGCCGCCAGGCTGAAAAATCAAAATCAGTTCTGATGGTGACTGTATGATCAACTTGCTCAAATTAACTTCTGCTAATCCCTCATAATAGGCATGAACTGCTCACATTATTACTTATCAGTTATCATGGGCCCATTGTGGTAGTCTGAGAGAGATGATCATGGCCGATGAGAGGACCAGAAAATCACCGCTCCACCACTTCAAGCAGACAAATGCAAACAATTTATCAGGTAGGTTTGACACAGCTAAAAGGTTGCATTGAAAGAATCTGAGTTTGTTGCATTCTGCACTCGGCAGCATCCGTAAACAAGATGCGCTCAGCTCATGTCAGTAGGCGGAACTATGGTCAAGCGTACCCATTTTCGGGAACGCATTTTCGTTCCCATGTTTGGGAACGATAAACCCAAATATGGGAACGCCATGAAGGCATGATTTAAAACAAGAAAAAGAACCGTCAAATGACGTCCAAAAAATATAAAACGATCGTGAACCGCCTGATATTTGTCTCAATATTGTTGGGAAAGAGTTTGATATTGTAAGGGCCATCGTAGTTTCAACTCGTTCCCCTATTTCTAAAGCAGTCCATCATCCGGGCCGCGAGTCCAAATTTGGGAACGCTCTCGTACACTGGCGCTGCAAGCGTTCCTTATTATGGGAACGGCGTACCCAATATTGGGAACGATTTCACCGACGCCTTTCAGGGGCTCTTTTCATTAACAAGCATCACGTCCAACGCCGCAAATCATTGTTAACACAACAATCATCAGATGACCTTTCCGGCAAGACCGTCGCATGTTTCGCCCGGTCTTCTGCGCTTTTATTCCCGTCGATCTCGCAGCGGGCACGCCCCCCTCTGCAGGATTACGTAATTCACAACGCTCAGCGATGTTCAACAAGATGTTCCATACCTATATATCCACCGTCCGCGCCGAGGGTGGAGACATGTCAAGCACCTGTCTGTTTATCACCGATAGTTGACGAGCACAAGGAAGTATCCAAAAATGGGAACGCTGAATATGTTACACCCTCAAAACACCTAGTCCCAATGAAAATCTAGTTTTTTCCTTTCTTAATGAGTGTAAGTGGCAAAAGGCCTGGTAGGATGGGCACGAGGAATGATCGAAATCAGCATAAAAATTATAAATAAGCCACACAGAGCGACCTATATAAGAGAAATCCCCCCAAAACGATCATGCTTAGAAACACGGAAGACAAAAACCACGCTCATGATGCTCCTTATAAAACAACGCTAAACAGCTAGCATCTAAATAAAATATGTCTTTCCGGGCTGATAAAATACAGCTGAATAATTTCAAACCACTGAAACTGAGTTTACAACAGTAGTTCGGTAAAATCACTGACGTTCCACGCGGTCGTGCGCCCCGACACCAAAAGTCAACAATATTACCTCGGGACTGTCCGCGTGTTCGCTTGCATATGTCAGCATCTGGTGTCGCTAGTATGAAACTTCATAACCAGGCGAAAATTATTATACTTGACCTCAAAATGTAAAAACGCTTCATTTTCCTTAAAATTGCATGTTAAATGTAGTATAACCCATGTTTTCACCACTCCGTCATTTCAAAAAATCATTAAAAATATCATTCGACGGTCAATTTCCTTGTTCAACGGTCAGATTAAAGATAATTTTATAGAGATTCAGTAGATACTTAAATTAGCGTGCACTTTTTTGAGACGTGGTGCACTTATGAGTTTTAGTGGGCGAACGGCCGAAAAATTACCTTCCGTTCTCATAAATGGGAACGCCCGTTCCCATATTTGGGAACTCCGTTCCCAAAAATGGGAGCATTCCTATATTTGGGTACTAATGACCATAGTTCCACCTACTGATGTAACGGGTTCATGTGATTTTTTGTACTCTCAGACTACTCTTTGGTGCGGATTTTCCGGCTCTGTTTGAAGGATTGGTGCGGATTTTCAACTTGGGCTGGTGCCCCTCATCGACCTGCGAGCCTTACTTTGCAGGCTGGCAGTGCACCATGCGTAGAGGTGTATATATTGGTGCAGAATTAGTCTTGGCCTTTCAGTAACCAGCATTGCAAGGGTCTGACTTTGTCGATGCTTCCATGGAAACCCAATAGAGCACTAGGCGTAGTACCCTATAGAGCAGTGCCATGAAACAGGGTCTACACCTTTTAACCCGCGCCCTGGTGGGGGGGGGGCTATTTTTTGCCCCCCCTCCAGACTTTTCGATATATCTCCAGAACCGCTGCGCCGATCGTCACCAAACTTTCAGTACCCTCCCGGACATCAATTTTACACATTGTGACCAAAAATTTTTCCAAAGGCTATGATAGGTTGGCCGGAAATGACGTCAGAGTGACGTCATGTTCTGCCGTTTTCGACCCAAAAAAGGGTTTCGCGGGAAGAGCTGTCAGGCCTATAGCTTTGCAAATACAGAAAAATGATAAAGACATAAAAGCTGTAGATTGGACAGGGCTACAAAACTGCTATCTCGGATTTTTGAAATTTTTGGATTTTGACCCCCAAAAATCAAAAAATAGATTTTTTGGATATACTAATCGAAAAATCCAAAAAGTTTTTTGAATTTCGCAAAAACCGGAATATATGTGATAGTCCTTACCGCCTTCCATCCACATACCAAATTTGAGATTGATACCTCCTTTTTTGGCGAAGTTATAGCGAAAAAACTGTTCAAAATTGATGACGTCAAATTTTCAAACTCAATTTTTAGCAATTCTAGACCCCGTAGCGCAAAACAAAGACCACCATTAGACTCCCCGTGACGAGCTGCATCGAATCAATACCCAATTTATGCAAAAATATCAACTTTAAAATTTGACCTTTTTTGGCCTGACCTTGACCTGAACTTCACCAGAAAGTGACCTAAGCCGTACCTGATAGTCTTATAACCAACACCATTGAGTTGGAAATGAAAAATTGGCCATAAAACATGTATCACACAACCTTAGTAAAGTTGGGCTCATGTGACCTGACCTGTGACCCTTGGTGACCTGACCTGTGACCTGACCTGGTATTGCTAGTGACCTCTAATAGCAACATATCTACTAGGCAACTGACGCCCTACCGCTGATTCTCGACAAAATGCGTTTTCCTCGGTGTTATAGCGCATTCCCTAGAAGACCCGTGAACGGTGAAACATTTCATCTTTGACCTGACCTGTGACGTCATCGGTGACCCCGAGGTCAATGAAATTTGGTTTCCTTCGACAAATTTGACAGGCCTTTCGAACGCCGTTTGAATTTTGCGGATCCGTCCAGTAGTTTCGGAGATACGAGGGGGGGCAAAAAATAGCCCCCCCCACCAGGTCGCGTTATAAACAGACCCCACCAGGGCGCGGGTTAAGGTACAATTTCAAAAAGGTACAGACCGAATTAAAAACGTTCACGTGCATTTTGAATGTAAACTTTTTATATTTAGCCTTTAACTTTTTGAAATTGCGTCTAAAAAGGTGTATATAACCACAAAATAAATGAGAACCATTTGAGCGTTTAAATTCAATTCAATGAATTTTGCAAGCAGCTTGACCTACTCAAACTTAATTTGAATTCACACAAGACACAACAGTTCAATGGAAGCAAACCTATAGAAAAACACTTAGGTAGTTCGTACATAAAACGAGCTCATCTACATGACAGAGGAAAGATCAACAGAAAATGCAAAAAAAATAAAAAGTCAATAATCCACCCAAGGGAGGCAGTATATTCGGGGGCGCAGCGCATATTTTCACTGCGTCCAAGGCCCTAAAACATAAGGTTGGACGAAGTTTTCTACCAAAAATGTACTAGAATAGCGCACGAGTCAAAGCTATTTCCGTTGTTTCTTTACAAATATGTCGCAAACAAGCTTTTTCTGTAATAAATCATTATTTCGAAGTTAAGCAACCAGTTGCTATAAATTCGATAAGCAAACACTTATTTTTATATAAAAGCCTAGCTGATATAGTCCAATTCTAGTTGAATAATCAAGTAGCTACTAAATTTTCCAGATGTGACACATATTGCGCACTTAAGACAAATGCGTTGCTAGGGCGTTGCTAAGGACTCTTTCGCATGTTTTGCTGCCTGCGTTTTTGTTATGAAATGAGGGAAGTGAGATGGACAGGCTTTTTGATTTTTTTTTTCTGGTTTTCTTGGACCGTCTCAATTATTTAACTTGACATCTCTTGCTTTTTTATCTGAGGTTTTTTCAATAATTGATAGATTCCAGCGTGGAAATAAAAGGGCGAGCAGGCCACAGGGGTAAAAGCAAGTCGACTGATAGTGAAATAAAAGGTAGAAGTGTCTGTTCCATTAGAAATTTAATGTGATGTGATGGAACATGAAGCAACCTGCAACAGGATCAGACGCAAGAACCACCAATTAAGCAGAACCAGCAAGCGCCATACAATCAAAAAGCAGTCATGGTAACGTTTGATTAGCTTTCAGAAAACCTTGGAAGACGCCAGACGGTGAGCAATCAAGAGATTTACACGACCAGTAGGTAGTTACTTGAAAACGAGAGCCGCCAGGAAAATCAGTAGATTCTTCAATGGCAACACATCTCAACATCTATCTAGCAATTATTTGCACCAGCGAGGTGCTATCATTGTGTTTTGTGCCTGTATCCCTATACTGCTCAAAAAATATTTGTCAATAAATAAACAAACAAAATAATGCGTCTTTTTCTACTGAAAGTAAGTCCTCCAAGTGGCAGGGGATGAATGATAGAAGGTACCTACATAATTAATTGTCATTTATTCATTCAATTCATAGGCAATTCAGGGGCATCGATCGGCAGCGCCCTTACTGCATGGTACTGCGGATCGTCAATGGGTTTCTTGATGACTCCGACTCTGACTCAGACTTTCAAAAATCAACTCTGACTTTGATTTCAAATGTCGGCTCTGACTGACTCCGACTCCACAGCCCTAGCAGGTCTGCGGAGGCAATGGTTTTTTGGTGACTCCGACTCTGACTCTGGCTTTCAAAATCGACTGTGACACTCACTCTGGTCAGAACTGTCGACTCCGACCGACTACAACTCCGACTACGGAACCCTGAAAGGTATGCGGAGGGGATCGAATTTCGGTGACTGACTCAGACTCCAGGCTTTTAAAATCTACTCTGACTCCGACTCGACGACTCAGGTCAGAACTGTCAACTCCGACCGACTTCATGACTCCGACTCCGGAGCCCTACTGGCAGCTATCACGCCAGGGAGCTGCAAATCGTATGTTCCGTGGCGGTTTATGGCATTAAAGTCGATAATGCGGCTGAATCGCACTATGAAACACCCTTATTGGCTGCAAGAACCACGAACGTTAGCGCATCACCACTGGAAAACGTGACAGGTTATCGATTAATTGGCCCTGGATTTGGATAAATAACATGTTGATGATCATATTAGCACACATTTACATTGCCATCTATCTCAAGGTTGCCCTTCAGGCGGCTCTAAACTATGGCAATTTCCCTATCTTCAACATGTAAATGCCCTCGGGCGTCCTCGTGGTGACGTAGGCATGGGAGTGCCAGGTTGGTAGGAACTAGACTTCAACGCCCCCTGACTGCGTCCTATTTGACGCAGGTGCGTCACATTTGCATCCACTGTGTGCTACCCGCGATGTGCTACCAAATTAAAAAGCCTTCTTTCTCTGGATTATGTTCCGGTGTCGGTGTTTACATAAGAACATGTGTCTTATGAACCTGATCAATGCAAGCGTTATATGTATCATGGAACTTACGATGCAGTCCATCCACTACTCGACTAGAACGCACCGTCCTTCGGACGGCACCCGACCGTTCCGTGCTTCTATCCTCAGGATACTGAAATCCTTCTCCTCCACGCCGCAACCCCCTTCCGGGCTGGACAGGCAACTTTATCTCATGCGGGCTGCTCCCTTGGAGCGGCACCGCTGCTCCCGAGGGAGCGCACCCCGTAGCCGGGTGCAGTGAGTGCCTTGGGGCTGGGTGGCCTGTCCTCTGGATGGGCTCAGCCCCGGCGACTCACTAGGGTGCCTGCCCAGACCAATGTCTCCCCCTATATCCTATCATCCTCCCGGCTCTGAAATGGTCTCATTGGACCGAAAGGGCCTAACCCAACAAAAAAAAAAAAACAAACAAACAAACAAAGGACGGCACCCACCGACCAGTGACCACCCTCGCTACGCGAGATCGCGTACCAAACCAACTCGGATGTTGAGACCGGCCGGTCGCTGTCAGTCATTACAGCACCCGAATATTTCACTTAATCTCGCCCATATCCTACTCATTATCAAGTTATTTTCAAATACACCAATTTTGGAGAAACCAGTCCACCGTCCACGGACCCCACAATTCCACCCCACCCACCCCGCCCAGCCTCTTCACCGGCCCGATCGTCCGCCCTCCCTTCGATTCCCCTACAAACACCACAGGGTTGATGACATGCCGTTTTATTTTCCACTGAATGACGCCTACGCTACGGACATGACTGCGGCGCATATCACCCAGCGCGGGTCGGCCGAGACCCAGTATCAAAACGGTCAGACGCAGAAAGTGGTCGGGAAGCACTCGCCGAGTATATGGCTGGATATACGTGACTGAAAACTAGCTCTCTGTCTCTCTCTGTCAGGCTTCCCTCACTCCCGGCCTCTATATTCACAAATGTACACAGTACATGCGCGCACCTCAGTATATAAATGACTCAACAGGGCGCAGGGCCAGGTCGGCACAGCGCGCGCCAACATATTTGGCGCCACCGCGCGGGCGCGCGCCAGCACACAGCGGATAAACAACAACACGCGGCGCATATTCAGTCAGAAACACATTATGCGTCAGTCAGTTTCTTCAGCATTTCGGGCGACAGTTTGGGTTTCTGCGCCACCTGGGGCTTGACCTTGACCCTGGGTTTGAACGAGCTGACCCCGGCGGGCACCACGGGCGGCTCGACGGGCACGGCCCCGGGCGGCGGCGCCAGGGCGGACTCGCGCTCGGTGCCGCCGGCGGCCTGCCGCGCCGTGCCCGGCGACGTGTGGCCGCTGCGGCGCAGCGTGCACTGGTTCTGGCGCGCGAACGTCTCGGCGGCCGTGCTGGCGGCGTCGGGCGGCGAGCCGCGCGCCGGCCGCTGCGACTCGGGCGGCAGATCCATCA